CAGGCCGGGTCGCCGACTTTCGCCGCATCGAGGGCTGGACGCCGGCGGCGCATAGCGAGGCGCACGCGCGCGATGCTGCGTGGCTGCGCGAGCAGGTCGCGGGGCAGCAGGCGTGCGACGACGGCAGACGCGTGCTGGTGGCCACGCACCACGCGCCGTGCGTGCGGGGGACGTCGTCACCGCAGCACGCAGACAGCCCGTGGTCCTCGGCGTTTGCCACCGAGATGCTGGCCGAAGGCGACTGGGCGCCCGTGCGGACGTGGGTGTTTGGCCACACGCACTACTCGACGGACATGGTGCGCGGGGGCGTGAGAGTCGTGGCCAACCAGCGCGGCTACGTCTTTCCTCCGAAGCCCGGCGCTGTTGGGAGTACCATGCAGGAGAGCGCCGTGTCGGGCGGCTTTGATCCCGGCAAGGTCGTTATCGTATAGCGACTTGGTCGCGGTGGAAACCGTCACCAGACGTAGAACAAGGTATCAAATGGGGCCATATATTTGTAGTCTTGATCTACTATTCTGTATTCATTGTATCGTGAGAGCAAAAAAAAAAGGTAAAGAAAAGGGCAAAAAGAACAGGAATCCGAGAAAGGATGCAATAATTTTTCCCAACCAAAACGCCTCATGTATAGATTCTATAGTTGAAATCAACCCAGACAAGGAAAATGCAAAAGTAACATCATGCGGAAGCACAACGGGTATCCAAGGGTCAAAGCTAGTATCGTCAGGTCATGTCAGAAGAAGCCTTAATTTTACTTCTTGCGTGCCTTCTTGACGTCCTCCGGCGTGTACTCTTGCGCAAAGTTGGCATCTTCCAAGCACTCCGACACAACGGGATTGACAAACATGTGCTTGTCCAGACCGCCGCGGAGGAGGAGCTTCATGACGGTCACCCGAAAGTACAGGGACCAGGTGTCGACCTTGGCGGCCCTGTTCTGCAAGCGCAGCTTGAGGCGGTAACCGTACTCGGCGCGGCCGTCCTCGGTGCGCTGGGAGGCGGGAACGCGCTCGTCCTTTTCGGGCATGTAGAGGGCGGTAGAGTAGTACGGGCCGACGCCGCGCTCGAGGGCGGTGACGACGCTAACGAGGGACTCGCGGAGCTCGCGGCGCGAGCGGCGCGAGGCCGATTTAGCGCTCATGCGGGCAAGCTCAGCGATGCGCCCGACGAGGCGCTGGGGGTCGTACTGCAGCTGAAAGGGCTTGCCAGTTTCGGCCTCGTAGGCGCGCGAGGACTCGTAAATGAGGGCGATGCACATGGCAGCGTTGGATTGCACATCGACGTCGCCGCTGTCGAGCTGGTCGATGATGGCGTCAATGGCGGCGTCCGCGTAGTCCGAGTAGTCGTCGACGTGGGCGGCGACAAAGCCCCAGCTGAGCAGGGCAGCGGACACGATGGCGGCGTTGTCGTGCGCCTCGATGCTCTCGCCGTCGCTCTGGACAATGTCGATGAAATACTCCATGGTCTCAAGGGCTGCTTCCTCAACACCGCCGCCGTACAGTACACTCATTGCGAGGGCGTATAGCGCCCACACGCGGCAGCTGTCGTCGTCGTCGTCGAGGAGGATCTGCTTGACGGCGCGGGCGGCGCCCTCGTACACCTCCATATCCTCGACCGTTCCAAGCGTGATGCAGTAGGCCTGCAGGCTGAGAAGACGCTCGCGGGGTGAGTCGCCGCGGTTGGCGCCCTTGAGGAAAGCGTCAGTGAGCGACGTGGCGGCGGTGTCGAGCCAAAGATGCGTGTCCTCCGAGTATCGGGTGCGCATGAAGCGGATAAAGGCGTCGAGGTACTGCTCGCGTAGCTCGGTGTTGTTGTGCTTGCGGTCCTGGATGGCCTGGAGGAGCGCTTCCGTATCGAGCGCTGGCCCGGCGGTGCTGCCGTCATCGGCGGGCGCATCGAGAGAGTCGGCCGAGTGGATGCTCGACATCATGTCGTCGAGCTCAAAGTCGCTGTCGTCCGAGTCGCTGTCGGACGCCGGGCGGCTGTGGGTGGTCGAGTGCGTGGGCGAGGTCAGTAGCGAGGCCATTGGGGAGCTGGTGCCCTGGGGCGTGACGGCACCCGAGGCGCGTCCCGACTTGACGGCCTTGCGGGACACTGTCTTATTGCCCTTGAGGGCCTTGACTCTGGCGTGGTTCATGATGGCGGGGAGGGTAGAGACTCTGCACAAGCGTAGCGAGCCGCGAGTTGGTATAGAAGGCTAGTCGATTCTGCGCCTGCAACAGTGTCGTTTGTGCAGGACCATGCAGAGATGGTTGGTAGGAGAGCGGCGGGTTGGATTGGCCAAGCAATGACGTTGCAGAAGCCTATTTCGTGTATCGTGCGATAAATTGTGTGGGGATCTTTGGAGACTATCTGTCCGAGATGCGGTGCGGCGAGAGTATCGTAGGTGCGCGGCACATGTGGACTATTTTGGTAAATGAGGAGTAGATGGATGGGCGACGGCAACGGGTCTTCAACGGCCTTGGGAATATTGTTAAGAGAAGAAAAACGGCAGGGAGGTTACGGATTGTGTGCGGTTCAAGAATAAAATAGCATGGTCATTTGGATGGGAAAATGGTGCGTGGGGTGTGGCGTGTGGCGTGTGGGTAGGGCAGTGACCATGACGTTGACTGATTCTCACGCATTACCTACTAAGGTACAGTGGCTGTATGTATGAACTTAATCCTGGCCCCAGCAGTGGACCTGCCATTGTAGTGCATTTGTCAACTGATTTGCAGCAGATTTGTATGGCGGGGTGTCTTGTCAGTGCCAGTGGAGCAGCGCGTGTCCAGCGCGTTCCGCTGGCGAGGAATTCAAGCATGGAAAATATAATTACTAGAATTGACGTTGAAATTCCTGACCGCTTCTCATGTGCCAACAATGCGTATCCGGAATATCTTGTACACCTAAAAGCCGTCCCCTCCTATGAGCTACAGTAAGTAGTCTTACCCCGCCATGTCCGATTTGGCTCAGCGTCCTCGTCCCAACCCCGCCAACCCACTGTCTATCCCGCTACCCGCCGCCATCCATCCACCTACATCCCTTGATCTCATCCACATCCCGACCGCTCAGCCTGTCGCTCTACCATGTGCAAAGTCACTCGGCCCTGTTCAGGTGCTAGCCGGAGCCATGCGAGTAGCTCTAGGCTACTTTAGGGACCTTGATTGCGACAAGAACACGAGGACATCATCAACCGATGCCCCGCGCGAGGAAGATGCCTCGGGATGCAGCCAGCTATCAGGGCTCGCCAACTCTCTCGATTCTGCTGCCTAAACTACAGTTCCAAATGGAGCTCATGCAGATCGTAGACCAGAGTTACCAGAGTTACGGTGCAGCCCCGTGGGTGGCGTGGGACTAGGCACGGCGTCACATTCTGCACGCTGGCCAGTGTCGTTCGAAACTAACGGTGAGAGCCCGGTGTACACTGTGAAGCAGAGCATGGAGGAGTACATTCCTCTCGGGTTTTATTTGTCAAGGGTCGGCGCTGCTCTTTCAAGTAAAAACAGATGGCAAAAAAGGCAACCGGGTGCTCTTTTATTGCCCGTTCAGGTGTCGTACAAGTGGCCATGACATGGAATCGGGGAGCCAGGTCCGCGGAGGCTTCCTTTCGTATTTCTGTGCACTACCTCAATACAACTACATTGTTGCATCTTGCGCTTCAACTTCGTGGCTGACGTGTTTGGGCGACCTCTGAATGGACAAGGCTGTGCGAAGCCGAAGCCTGATACTCGCCAAGCCTATCAAGGCTCACGGCACTAGAGATGGTGGCTGTCCAGTCCAGTTCTATGTAGGGATGAACTCATATATATTATATTAACATGAGAAGGTTGCTGAGAATTCTAGCATCTCTACGTATGTAGTTATAGACACAACAGACAGAGAAAAAAAGGTCGGCCAGCTAGCAGACCGTTAGAGAGGCCAGATCTCGCCCAAAGCCCGCAGCCTGAGCATGTCACACCATGAAGCACGCATAATTGCGGCACTGTGCTGACAGCGCCACAAAATGGTATATATGGGGCAAAAGTGATATGCAGACACGCTGTTGTCGTATTGAAACTGTGCCCAAGAATAAACCGGCGAGATAGGGCTCCAGCGCCAGAACGCTGCGTCTAGCCGGGCAGCAGAAGAATACGGTCAACTGTCGATTAAAGGCCGCTTCTATTTTCGCCGTCGCCTCTTGACATCGTTCCAACCAGCGTTTCATGGCAGCATGGGTCGCGTAATGGATGACTTATCCAGGTGCTCGAGTCCACGATAAGTGCCGTCACCATACCTAGGTAATTGGGTGCTACTGTACGAAAATGGCATGCTACACTGTACGTGACCAATGGTGGTCCTATGATAACGCTCAACAGTATTGTAAGCCAGCGCAACTGCTTCAGCTCCAGTCAACAGAATTATATGCCCCTTTGTAGCACGTTTTTATTTCTTTTAGAAACTTTCGCTATTTCTATTAGAAGAGTGGTGCTTGCGTGACCAACCTGGTTCTCTGCCGTGACCCCTCCTCGGTTCTGTCTGTACAGTGCGAATTTAGCCCCGCGTCGTGGCGGGGCTGCCACAGCTGCCTGGAGTTTGGCCTTGTGACACTGTGCGTGGAGCCGTGCGTGCGTGGAGAACATCGCCATCGGTACACGGTACACTCACATTCATGCCCCACCTGCTTCAACTTCACCATCACACGTTCACCTTCCAATCACGCCTGCTTCCCGTCTTCTCCTTACCTCAACATTCGTCGTCTCATTCCGAATTTAGGCGAGAGTCTTTCCTAAAAGCTGTCGGAGCATTTCAAGACACATTTTGCCTGCGTAACAACTCTCTCCGTCGCTGCCGCCCGTGACACAACCCGACCGACTGCATCTCCGAGCAATTAGCAGTTGGCAACATTCGTGCCTTTCTGCTCTTCCACACCTGACAAATTCTTTCTCAAATATCTTGTCCTCAACGGAAGATACCAGCGTCATGTCACGAGCATTAGGCGAAGGCGAGGGTACGCTTCCCCGCTCCTACAGTTCTTCCAATCAATACCACCCCGCTAACACAATCACAGTCATCGTAACCCTGTCGTGCCTAGCTCCGACAGACTTGAGCTTCCCACAGCGCAGAATCCTGTTGTCGAACCGGAAAAATACAGCTCCCATCGGACGAGCCTCGAAGAGAAGTTCGACCTTGGAGGCTCGAATGTATAATGCTTGGATCGACGCTCCTGTTATGTCACGGGAACACGCCGAGCTGAAATTCGACTCTCAAAGCCAGGTATACACCCCTTCTCTCCTCTTATCATATCCTCTTATCATCTCCTCTTAATCTGCATTTTACCGAGTCTACTAACACCGCCTCGTAGATGGTCTTCATTCGAGATGTTCGCTCCCTGCATGGAACCTATCACAACGACATCAAGCTGCGGCCGGGCCAGTCGCAGGCCCTTAGAAACGGAGATTCATTGAAGTTCGGTATCTGTATTGAACGTGGGCACGACCGCTTTCCCCAGTGTACGATGAAGATTGGTCTAGAGTTTGGTCAGGCCGGGCAGCAAGCTACAGCAGAACCCAGGTAAGCACAGAGCTTTAAGAGACAAAATTTGATTACTAACACGGTACAGTTTGCCTCAGGCTACCGTCTTTCAAGTCCCGGATGATACGGACTCCGAGGACATGGACGACGCAGATGAGATTGATTCTCAGGCTGCGTTCAGTAGCATCGACGATGACGAAGATCCAACCGTTCAGGCAAGTGCCGCCGTTCTCCGTGAGAATGGCTTACAGCTTGTTGAAGTGCGTGGATTCAAAACCTCGGACGCGATTGATCTTACATCCGAACCGGATCTTACCTCCGAGGATAACGCTCCCACTTCTAGCAGCCCGTTTTCTGACGACCCTCACCTACCTCATCCTAACTCCGATTATGTGCTCGGTGTAGTGGACTTCAACGACGATGAACCCGGGACTCTCAATAACGCGTCATCTGCGCTGCCCAGCGACGACTTCGCCCCTGCGACACGATTCAGAGAGATTGGCGGCGTAGATGTTGCTGATGACAGCGTGCCAGGCATGGAGGGGCCGCTCTCCGAGGATCAGCATCTATCCGCGATCTCGGATATCATTCCTTCTGTGAGCAAGGCGCGATCGCTCGGGGAGTTATCCGGGAAACCGGAATACTTTCTTGCAAGAGAGCAAAACAGATTCTGTATCCAACATTCTGTCACGCCACGCGATGCACAGACACAAGAGGAAACACACGTCCCTGAACATTCCAATAACACGGAGGAGACATCAGTTCCTTGTGAGAGCAGCTTAAAGAAGCGAAAGTTTGAGCAAATCTCGGCTTCAATCCCTCCTGATGATTCATTTGAAACTCCCGGCGCCTCTCCATCTCAGGAGGCTCAACAGGTTCGAGCACGAGACGTGAGAACCGACGTCGATACAGACCTTGCCTACAAACGCGTAAAGGCTGCTGCGGAGTATGTTGGGCTCATGGCTATTGGAGGCGTCGCCGTCATTACTGCTCTTATTGCGACAGCCCCCACCTTCTGATCTTTTTTTGTCTTTTCCACCCTCAGTTGAGGACATCCCATACCAACTTTTGCTCTGATCGACTTGTCTACGTTTTTTTACCACGAGAGTTTGCTTTAGCACCTGGCTTGACTCGACTGTATTGTGCTCTTGTTCATGGAATTATTGAGTGGCGTTGCGAATTTAGGATGACGCAGGATTGAGGCTTTATGGATAATGATGATTAGTTTCTAGGACCAGTTTTAGGTATATACCACGCCTATATCTGGGTTTTTTTCAACTCTTGTTTACACATGCTTTTATCAACTCACAAAGTTGTCGGTATATATTATGGTTGCGAAATCGTACAGAGTAAGCGCGATTTTCACTGTACCTACCCAACACTCCCCATTGTACCATTGCAACAGCTTACTTCGCCTCGTCTAGTATGATGTTCAGAAGTACATCTCTGACAAGTGAACAGCTCTGCTTATGTGGTCGCGAGGTTCAATCTGATTTCTGTGCTTACTTACAATCTACATGTCACAAGTCTATCTCAGCCGCAAAGAGGATATAAGCAGGTGTCAGCTTTGAGTACATCAACAACGTTAGGACATCGACATGTTTGAGCCCGTCGAGGGAGAAGCGAAGCCGAAGCCGTAATGGTATTCTTAGCTACGCGTATCACGTTTCACATCTACACCAGATTACGGATACAGAAAAGCAATTATTCGTACAGTCCCCCGCCCGCCACCCGTTCAAATCAATGCAAGGCTCTCTTCCCGGGGCCAGCTTTACCCTTTGTCGCATCGGGCCCCCGCACAGACAGCGATTGTTTCTGCACGATGATGCGACAAAGAGTGCCATCCATGGACAGGGGTTTCTGGGGGGGCGCCTGGCTCGTACTCTCGTGTCTGTCTACCCGGTTCTGTGGAAATTGGAAAGCAAAAAAAACGCAGACGCCACGTCTACACCGGCCCGGCCCCCCGGTACGGACACGGACTACATAGAACAAACGCCACAACAGCCAGCCCCCTCTCCCCCGTCGTATAACTAGATGAACGGTTTGCCAGCCGCGGCAAAAAAGAAGCCATGCAGGCTCTCCGAGACATGCTCGGGATCCTCTGGAGCGGCTCCCTCTCCCCGAGGCAAGGGCAGCCTCGACTAGATCTACATGGAGGAAACGGTGAGACAGACAAGGGGCGTCGGACCCGAGAGCCGTGGGGGCGTGAATGCAGTCCGACGGGCAATATCCGTTTACTATCTCTTGGGGGCCGTTGCTCATCTGACAAGCCTTCTCTCCCCCCCAGCCAGCCAGCCACCTCAGAGAGAGAGACACACACACACACACACGCCGTCGCTCCCGCGCGCGGCGCCACCCTCTTTGGGGTCCGCGCTGATAAAAATACGCCGCTGAAAAATAGACGAACGGCGTACTGGGTCGAAGGGCGGAGAAGATCTGTAATGAAAAAGGGAACGGGAAACAGAAGCAGAAACGCTGGCCCGAAACATGTTTTAGCCCCCCCCCCCCTGCCCTCGTTCAGCGCATGCCCCAGAGCTTGGCTCTGGCGATCGAAGTTCTTTCTGTCACCCCTGAACTACATAATATGCGCTTTTTCGATATTGTGCAAAATGTATCCCCTTTTTTAATTTTGGGGGCCGCGGGATTGTTACATTCAAATCTCTGCCCCCTTGTCAGAAAAAACGTGGGAGGAAAGGGTTACATGTGGCGAGCCGCGCCCGGCCCCCCCTTTGGCTCTCCCTTGCAGGACTTCCCTTTAGTATAATTTTTTTTCTTTCCTTTTTGTGGCATCACATGGTCTTCTTTCCATGAACGATTTGTCTAAATTGAGATTCTGTTGCATCAGTTGACACTGCCGCAGCAACGCCGGGCGTCTGACAGCAAGGGGGGGCTGTCCGTGGGATTCGCTTTGCAGCAGGTGCACGTTTTTGTGGGTGTGATGAAATGAAACTAGAAATCAAATATAGGTCTTTATTTTTTTTCATGATACGTATCACTGAAGCCGGGGAGGGGGGGTTGACTGGTCGAAGAAGAGACAATGGCAGGAACCGGATCGTGGCGAATGCACAAACTTCCCTCGTTCGTTGTCCCGTTGTTCCGGGAGGGGCCGGACCGGATCTGGCTACTGACTCGTCGTAATTATAGAAAACCACGAGAAGCAATAAAAGTTGTTGAAGTCGAGACAACTAGTATGCACACGCCCGCCTTTCCCCCCTCCCCTCTCTTGCCAGCCTCGTTCTGTTGCCGCGGCGCGTTGTCGTTGATCTTTTCCCGGCGAAATTTCAGCTGCTTTGTGCGTGAGCTGCGGCAGAAAGAGTGGTACCAAATTCGTCATTTGAAGAAAGTTGTTTCGGTTCCATCTGCCCGTTCGGGCTTGTTTGAGATGAGCTCTTTGGCGGGCGTTTCGCAGGTTGTTAGTTGGCTTACGCATCGAAACATTGCACCGGGGCACTACTAAGCTTGGCGATGGCCGGCCTCGTCTTCCGGTATGACGGAAGTGGTTGGTTGAGTCACCACAATGTCCAATGTATCGCGTAGCTGCTGCATGTCTTGTGCTTTGCATCGAGGAGAGCAAAAGCCATCCATCGACCAGCCCGGCAAGCCTCACTCCTCCGCACCGTGGCTGACTTGGGCCGCACGCCCTCCCCATGGCGGAGAGAGAGGCAAAGACGGCTTGCATATTCGTGCCTAAATGTTCGGCTGATCCCCCTCGGCTCGGGTCGCCGCAACCCTCCCTGGACAGCCTGTAGAGCAAAGGCTGTAGCAAGGCGCAGCCTGGGTAGGAAGTAGGAGGCTGACTTGCTTCATCAGGCTCAATTTTATGGCAGTGAAGGTGCAAAGCCTATGAGCCCTCGGTTTCCTGTTGTAGCAGAGCTGTTATGGCCGATTGTGCCGTCATTCTCCATGTTGTGCTCTCCCGCGCCACGCAAGTCACATTGACGTGTCGTGTGCTTTTTCCATTATAGGTCATGTAAAATATGTACACGTCAATTCTGATCAGCAAGGGATCCCTGACCTCTATCAAGAGGCACAGGCGCGCCGGCCGGGTCCGTCCCAGCCAGCCCGGTGACTACGCCAGTCAGATTCAGCCAGATTATACAGCTCGTTCAAGTCCATATTCCTACAATGTGCAGACTTTCTAACACCGGCTGTCGTGTAGAAGAATTGTACGCCTCCGACACTGACTGCAGCTATCATGCCGCCTCGGCCCCTGGTCAGTTCTCTGGCGACATATGAGTGGGAGCGTCGTCTTCCTCCCACCCAATGTCCAGCTCAAGGAGCACCGCGGCACCAGAACGAGACAATCTTACATTGTGTACTATATTCGTACATAGCCATGCAGGGCCTGCCAGAAGAGAGCACTCAGCGGATGAGAAGGGGGGGATGCGGCGCATCATTTGCGGCTTCCCATCCGTACTGGCTACGATCTGCATCGCCGCGCTGCTCATCTAGATTCGGTCTCATACGCTGACAACCTACAAGGTTGTATCAAGGACTCTCCGTCACAATCAGAGGCAAGTCCCGATCACATTGCATCTAGGCAGCCGACAGGCACAACCACAAGGAATATTCCGTAGTACGTTGCCAAGCCTGCCAGACGCAAGTCTCGGAACAAGAGCACGCGACCGGGCCCGCAGATCCAGGGCCAAGATGGGCTGCCGCGATGGGATTTTTGTTGCCACGATTCCGAGAGACCCATCCTCACCCGTCCGATCGCTTGTCCGTTGCCGCCGTATACTCTCAGGCGAATGACTTCAAATGGCTGGGGGAGGGTGTAAGCAGCGCATGGGGTAGCGAAGGTGCAACAGGAAGTGTTCTGTGCACAACCGCCTGCCGCGCTTCCCGCGGGATCGGCACATTCTGGAATGTCGGCCAAAGAGAACGACAGGTTCTTGAGATCAACATTTCCTATTTTCAGCAGCAGTCCGGGGCCGCCCAAGCTGAGCAAGATTTGTCGTTGGCGATCGATCAAGCTCTGCCGGCAGGAAGCGGCTCGGATAACTAACGATGCGGTCCGAAATCAACGCTGCCTTCCATTGCTTTTGTCAAACAAGATGAGCTCATTGATCACAGCTGAGCGTGGCGTGTCTCGTTTCCTTTTTTTAGCAACGACAAGACTCTCGGATCCTAACCAGTACTGACACACGTGCAAGCCCGGCACTTGCTGTTCAATCTCGTTTCGCCAGCAGCCAGAATCGCAACGCTGTGTATCCGTATGAGCGTGTCTTGTCTGTCTCGGCACATGCGAGCTCGGCGGAAGCGACGCCAATCTAGTCTGTAGTTTAAATAGCTTTTCGTCTGGAAATGAAAAACAGTCTCAGGCGCGGCGAGACAAGTAGGCTCAACATACCACTGAATAGATGGAGAGGGGGGGGTGAGGCGGAGATATCGCGCCATGTCATCTGTCGTTTCTGCCCCTCGTTGCTTTTTCTGGTTCAAAAGAAATAAGGCGCTGAATGAAGGACAGGCGAATGTTGCTGCCAACCTGCGTGCCAGATCTGCAGGCGTGTCTCGGCCGCTCGACGACGAGCGGGTGACGGTTGGCTGAGACATGCCTCGTTTTTCGCGAAATTGTGCAAAGGATATGCGCATCGTTACCGTCGCCCCCCTTGTCTGCCAACGTCGTGCCGTTACAGCCGATACAAGTCATGAACAAGACGGGGAGGGGGGGCACAACAGCTGAAATGCCTCGCCGCCTCTATGCGCATCACAAAGATGTCCGATACGGTGATTTTCACCTTCTCTTTCCGATACGCGCTGTATATATATATAAATATATATATATATATATATCATGACGTAATAAAAAACTGCACACCAGCCGGGCGGCAGCATCGGCATCGGGCCATGGAACCTGGAAAACGGCATCAAGATTAGTCCATGTGCGTAATCTCGATTGCATCGCTCCCTTCCCCCTGTCATCCAATCACCATCTGTTCCGGCTACTCTCTCTCTTTGCTCCGTCCAAGTTGTCAACCACGCGGGTCAACGATCAAGCATCGGGTGTAGGGCCCCCCCGGCGGGCAATGCAATCTCAAAGTTCACTCCTGCAGTCAGCCAACTTGTCTTTGACTTAATATACCCTTTTTCTCATACAGTTTTGTTCAAGGGAGCAGACAAGTGAGAAATCATGCGCGCGCGTGCATTGTCGGGCTGCAAATTAGCCTTTGCCCGCGCATTCAGCCCGTTTCAGCTCCTCGTTACCCTCGCTTCGGTCCAGTTGACAACCCAAATAGATACACGCCTATTCTTTTTGCCCGCGTGACACTTTTCTCTCGCTTGCGGCGCTGGCGTGGCACCCCCACCGCGGAACTGTCATGTTGGCCCGTAGCCATGTTGGGGAAGTGCCGAAATAATTCTCCTGAGCCTCGGTGACATGCTCTACCTTGCCGTCTGGTTGTCGAGGTGAGTCGGTATAAGGGGCAACCACTCTCTTCAGTCACGCAAGGCTGCATGTCATTATCCTCTTGATGATACATGTTGGTTCTCGGCAGCAGCTTACCCTACAGGCTGGGTAAACTTATCAATCAAGGCCACCTCGCGTCTCGGAACTGTTATCACCAGCGGCAGTTTTTGTCAGCCACTGCTTTTCATTTAGTATGCCAGCTGCGTACAAAGAGCTTGCCTCTGCACTGAGTCAACAATTCCACAACCAGGATAGGATTCCATCGTGCTAGCAATCAAATTAAACTCGTCACTCCAAGAATTCCTCACCAAACCCCCCCCATGACATCGGTGGGCATGGCTCAACTCGTACAGTAGCGGTAAAAGCTCCAGGGCTGCTTGGCCAGCCGGCAGGCAAGTCTTGGCGTATACAGTCGCATCGGGCTTTTAAGAGGTTCCTGGTACATAGGTAGTCTAGGCTGCTTTCTCATCGGTGAAGGTTGCACTACATGCACGCCCTAGCATTAGTAGGGGAAATCTACCGGTACACTAACGGGCTGACTGACGTTTGCAATAAACGAACGAACCAGGCTGACGAACGAACGAGTAATAAAAAAAAACGCCGGGCGTCTTCGGCCTTGGCTGACTAGATGGTCAGGAGCCCCAATCCTTCGGCAGCCTCATCTAGCACAAGATGTTCCCAGCTCTGACCCCCCATGCTGTGCTGCAGTGGATTGGTGTTGGGTAGACCGGGTACACAACCCGTGCGCCCTGCGTCGGCGATAGGGGCGTGTGAGTTTCTTTACGCGAGAGCGCAGTGAGATGAGGTGGTGTGCGCTGACAATCAATGTCATCAAGCAACGGGTCAACATCCTATAAGCTGGCGGGCGCTTTGCAAACAAGTGTTTTAGTACCAGCGTAGCGGCGCGATTTGAGATTGCCAAAGAAAGCATCGAATTGCTCGACGTGTGCGCGCGCGACATACTGGTACAGCAGAGTGGTGGGGTGTTAGTCGTGACTGCGATCTACCTGTACATAGTTATGACGGCCGCCAAGATTGATCCATTCCCTGTCATGCATGGGGGGCGGCGAGAAATGCCGCAGTTTGTTTCGTTGGTGGACTACGACGAAATTGGCAGCTCTCCAGAGAGCGACTGAGTTCTATGCCAACTGCCGACTCGCGTCTCTCTTTGCGCGCCATTCAGCCCTCGGAGCTCCGTCTCGGCGGAGCAAGGACATAGAGAAGGACAAATGCAACACTAGAAGAATCAAACTCAGCTGCTTGGTACAGCAAGCTGTCCGCATCGGAGACTGTCGTGGCTCGCACAGCTGTTCCAGCCCCTATGGCTAGAAACCCCCATGCCATCATCGGCATGTAATCGATCTGCGCATCGGCGCTGAGCACTCCGCTCCAGTGAATTTTTCTTTCTGTCCCTGGTAATCGCACAGACGCTACGCTGAAGGCAATCTGGTGGCTAGTGCGGGACGAGGGACAATGTAACGTCGGGAAAAGACCGAGGCTAACCCTGACGAGTAATAATTAACCTACCAGGTGGACGGCACTGCCAGATCTGACGTACCTCGTGTCGCGGTCGATCTAGCGCCCCCAAAAAGGGTCCAGTGGTGCTTGGTAATTCGTCGCAGCTGCCGTTGCGCCCATTCGGAGTCGACGCGGCACCCAAAAGGTTTGGTGGAAAGATCTCGTGAGCACGGTGCAGACCGCCGCGAATCTGCAACACAGCCATATTTCCCTCGTTCAATCGTGACAAGCAACATGCTTTGTGGCGCTGTCATCCAGCAAGCAGCACCTTCATCTGCCGCTTAGTGGTCCGCAACCCAAATCCTATCCGCGTAATCTGTAATTCGGAGAAACTTTCGATTCGGGCCCGTGTCGCGAAATGACCAAAGTTTATTCAGCTTATTGCATGAATTACTGCGCTCGAGGTTGGTACTGGAGTTGGATGAGTCTGCCTGCAGCTCGGTTCGAGGTCTGTGACATGCGTCTACGGATTTGTACCTGGCACATTTTGCAATGCGACAAAGCAGCGCACTTTGCCATGGTAGAAATCTTCTTCAAACGAATGCAAGGAATAGTTGTTGGTAGCGAGGATTTCCGCTACCCTAAAGGTCGGGCTACTTCGCGACCAGAGTCGCCGTTTGTTTGTCGGGTAATTGCTCTTCGATATAAGAGCAGAGATGTGTATTATCACCAACTAGTTGGCCGCGGAGGACCCGGGGTGGTACGCCACACCACAGTCAGGCGTCTCAAGCGGTCGGTGAGTCGTGACTGTGCTCAGCTGGGGCTGGCATAATCGGCGATATGGCGGCGTGCGAACTGGCCCCGGTGGCGACCACCGATCCAAGATCCTTACGATCCCAAGGACACACATCACAGAAACCCGAAGGAGGCACGGATCTTGTTTGCCGCAGGCCGACTTGGCCGGATGTTACGGGCACGACACGACGGTGACAAAAGGCTGCAGAATGATGGTAGCATGTTTGACAAAGGCCGTATTGTCCCTTTTCCCTTTCATGTCTAGCAGTTTTCTGCGGGGGCGTGCCAACTTGTCGGGTGGAAGACCTTTTGGGGAGGATGCCGCGCGCCCGGTTGTCGCTGAGAGTAGTAATTGGGCGGCGCACTGACTTCTAGTTTGGCAAATGAGCAGCCACGCAACCACAAGTGGGAATGCGAATATAACTACCTGACTGCACCTCGTAATTGTAGGCGCTGACAGTGGGCTGGGGATGGGGAAGGAAGGTGGGCGCCATCACCACCGCCAAGAGAGTTTGACAACAGTGATGAGGACCGACAGGACCGACAGTCGGTGGCTCGGTCGCCTGGAGCACCGTGCCAAGAGCGCGGTAGCCAACGCCACCGCCACGAGAGCCGCCCTAGGGCCGTTGTGAGGGCGGGCCTGGGTTCAGTACCCGGTCTGGGGGTTGGTACTGGTGATGAAACGGAACCAGCGTATGGGGACAGGTCACCGGTGCGACAAGCCAGTTTGCCAACGAGAAAGCCTAACAGCTGCCACGGACTCCACAGACAGTGATGAAAGAGTCGGTGTTGACTCTTCTGAGGGCCCGGGTCCGCAGCCAGTTGATGTTCGCAATAGTAGGTTACCAGTATCCCTATGACCTCGGAAAGAGGGGCGTGCCACTGTTGGAAGCATCGGAACCTCTGAGCTGTCCTTTCCGACAGAGACAAGCAGGCCTGGTCACCACTGGCCTCAGAATGATGGAAAGAGTTTTTTTTTTTTCCGTTTCAATGCTTCGTATTCGGGCCATTCATTTATTCCGTCTGGCCCTACCGAGACATGGCGAGGTTTTGCGAGGTTGCATCGAGTTCCTGTTCTTACGTGGCCTGGCTAAACCGAGAGCTTATTTCCTGCGGTGGAAAACCTTAGCGGAAGGGGAACGGGGACATGCACGATCTGTGGCAGGCAGTTTGAAAGCTTGTAGGCGATGGCCGGGGGCGTGTGTAGTCATGGGCGGATATGTCCGTCGCGTTACTCCCTGTAATGATGACATGGAGGCCGACCTGGGTCGATCGTAAGTCTCTTGAGAGAAAAGGCGAGATATCTAGTAAAGCGGGCGAGACACAGAGGTTGGGCGCGGTTTCGCGTCGGCCGCAAGAAGGGATGCGATGCGATGCGGGATGGTGAAAGGCGGTTACGAGGTCAGGAGGGTCATGCCGGTATGCAACTGTCGGCTGAGGCTCTATGTGCCAATGTGGTCCGGATCTGGTGATGCTTGGGGCGCTGGTGGGTGTTAGGATGCATGTCTTGGTCCTCCGAGTTGGCCGACGGGTGACAGGCGACGAGCAACAGCGGACAATCCGCGGTGAGGTGGCTGGTCATGGTACATGAGGCAAACGGAGCTGTTGCAGCGAGCCCCGGAATCGCATCATCGCTCCAACGTGCGTCATACTGAGTCTTTGTCCCCAATTCAAATCAACGAGGCGTGCCTAGTTGCCAATTAGTTACAGAGACGGACGGGCTGCGTATCAGGCTCACCACTCACGGGAGAGGATTGGATTGCGCCACGCTCCGGAGCAAACACGACTCCGCCAGGCGTATCGAGGAGGGCCCTATCAGCAGCCGTGGTTGAAACAAGACACGATTCGCTCGCAGTCCATGGGTGGCCATGTGCATGCAGAGGTTGAAGCAAGACAAGGGCCGAAACTGCAGAGAGGCGCATCATGGTGGTTGGACGGTGCTGGTTGCAAGCTGACCCAGCTGGCTGTTGGCGCTGAGCTTCCTCTTTCCTCCTGTCATGCGGCCCCCTTGGCCTCGCAGTTCTGTCAAGGGCGTCTAGAAAGAGGGCCTACTTGCATTTGTGATTGCATTTGTCGTCTTGACGGCATGGCGATCATGTATTGGCTACACGGCCTGCAATATTGTCTGTAGGCGCTGTCAAATCAGGACAGAGATCTGGCATCATCGCGATCAGGCGATCGATGCTGCCCCACTCCAAGAAAACCGCACATGTACTCCGTAGTTACTTGGTGTGGCAAACAGGAAGAAACGTCGCCTGGACGGGAAGAAAACAAAGAACCGTACCAGTATGCGTTGGCGCCGGTCGTACAAGATCGTTGTCCATCTGCCGTTGCCAAACTGCCGAACAATACGGATACAAGACAAATACTGGTACTAGGGAACCAAGTTGACAAGTGACGGGTCCTCTCAGCTGCCCTCTCACGAGCCTCGGATGGATCAAAGCTGTGTGGCTGGCTGGCGTGGCTTGAGGCTGGGCCGCTTCTTCAGCACACGCCCCCCCCTTGCTCCCTTGTTGGCCCGTTCTTGCAGATTGGAACCCAGCCCAATTATTCGCCTCTTATTAATACAATAGTCACCTCTTGACCGACCTCATTTTGATCAAAAAGCCTCTCGCGCGGGCCTGATCTCCATCGCAGAACAGAGTCCCCGCCCCGAGCACCGGCCGCGGCGCCCAGTCAGCACCCATCCTGCGTTTGGCTCGCGTCGCCAAGCTCCAGAAAGAAACCACGAGGCCGTCCGCCCCTCTCCCACAGCCCGCGCGCATCTGCTCTCCTTCATCTGACCGGCAAACAAAAGCCCAAGCTCAAAGGCATCGGTTGGTCCTGGCCGGTTTCGATGAAATCAGCAGAGCCACGAGGTCGCCGAGGGGTCCCCGGCCGAAATGACAAGGTGTGCAAACGAGCCCCGTTGTTGCAAAAGAAAGAATAAAGCTTCCAGAAGACCAGGGCGGCCATGCCGATGGGACGTCGCAATATACTACGGAGCCATGCCATAATACAACCAGCACATATGCACCCGGGTTGAAATGCACCGGCCCAAAAAGCCAGCGTTAGGTAGGGTGTGCGAGGCCGAAACAGAGCTACAGAAAACGGCACAGACTGGCAATAAGAACATGTCGAAGCAATACAACACATGATGTATCTAGGTTGAGCGGCGTCAGCAGAAACCAAAAACTCTGGAGCCCGTCACGCGCGGGCTCCCTCCTCCCTCCGGACCCTGCCAAGCAATTTCTCGACGGCAGGCTTGCAGGTCAACCAAGTGGTGTGTGTTAGTCCATGCTTGTGCATCAAGATAATGTCGGACCAGCGGGCGATGCAGAACGACAAAGCGAGCCAAGCCCTCCCTACGTAATGTGGCCGATCCCGCATGCTACGCTGATGATCTAGACGTTGAATAATGCACATGCGAAAATGAACGAACAAGGGGGCAGCCAACCAGAAGCCGCGTCTGGTTTCTCACCGCCGTCATTTCACGACAAGGCCGCGGCCCCCCTTCCCTCCTCATGCAGGCTGTCAGGATACGTAGGAAGGAGTCATAATTCTCCTACATGAGTATACATGAGTATACATGAGTATTGATTCTACACGTACACGCCCCCCCATGCACATGTGCAGACGAAAGAGAAAGAAGAAGAAGGTTAGCTGTACCTCGTGAGCCTTGTATGCCACATCTGCCTGCTCTGTCTGCATTAGTAAAATGAGCACAGAGGTACATGCCCGAAATAGACAAATAGGCTCTCTGCCAAGGCTGCACGCAGGCCGAGGAAGAAATTGGAATGGAAAACTAAAAATAGGCGTATAATAAGCATCAGACCACAAATGAAAATTATATCCTGGCACAGACGGTGAAATGATAGTCAGACTTGTTGTTGATGGGTGTAGACTGGCAAAACGAAGACATCTTGGCAATCATCGAGACGACGTATAGTGTCTCTTGTGCGATTCAGGAACAAGACAAATTAAATTACTAAAGGACAAAGGATCCTCGTCAGATGAGCCGATGCTCCAATGCTGCAATGCGAGCCGGGGTTTTCATACATTGCTGCGTACTTCGTACGGCCAACGCGCCCTCCCATGTGATAAGTCATTGATGAACAAGCCATTGGTTTCCCCTCATCGAGTGCCGTCCCAGCATTCGCTTATGTGCATCACGACACGGCAACAGGCGGCCTCTGGTAGTTGCCCACGGCATAATCCATGAGCGTGGGCTTGTGACCACCCCTGACGGCTCTATTGGCGGGAAGAGAAAGAGTCATCACACTTATCAATCGGGACAGGGCCACGCGCCGCCAGAGGTTTTTGGTGCTGCCGATTTCTTCGTAAGGCTCTCGGAACCGTGGCGCCTTGCTTTCCGTCTGCATTGACTGAACTCTGAACTGCGCCCCCGATGTCGACATGCTTGAAGGTGGAAAGCACACCCTCGTCACGAGCCATATATCCCCCACCGTCAACCCATATGGACCAATGAATAGCTGAAGAATTCTGCTTGGCCGTTTTTGTTTCTCCCATGTACAGTAGTCTGGGGCCCTTTCTTTTCCCTTGGTGCGGCAAATGCTCGGAATGGTGTGTCTCACATATGGAACAATCCATCGTCGTAAAGGATACCGAAGGATTTCTGGCAGACCATGCTCGGCACACACAAACAGCCATCGTCGGGTCGTCCCAGCAGCGGAGACCGGGAGACAAATCCCCCCCAGTGTTTAATTAGGGTTTTATGAGATGGGCGAATCTACAACGGCCGTGCCCCAGCTTGGACAAAGTTCTGTCGAGAACAATGGCCTGTTTTGCTGTGTGTTCTCGATCTGCCGAAGGCTAAAAAAAGAGAGTTTATAACGCATCGTGTGGGGGTGGCTGGATTTTCCATGTCTTGGACACACACCGTGCACGTTACCAGGTACTCGGCCATGTGCGAACGGCGAAGCCACCGAGTCCGATTATGGCTCATTCCCCCAAAACAGGCCATGAATGCTTGGAAACAATGCGGTTGCGCCGGCGTGAAACCAGCCCAGCATCAGAACCAAACAGTCTGCATAAAACCCGGTGAGCTGGCAAGGGGGTTGCTAGCATAAAGGAGGAAGCTGACCAAAAAAAAAAGCTTAAACCAAGATGCCAAGATGCCAAAGGCGTAAAAGAAGGGCGTGGCCAACATCGCCGATCCAAATGCCGGGGTTTGGACTCGCACACCTTCCGTGTCGATCTGAGGCAACAAAGCCCATTTTTCCCCAGCATGGATATTCATGCTTACCTGTCATGACATTTGCTTGGTGGACAAATGCCTTGTGCCGAGGAGTGAAAACTCACCAACGGACGATAGCCGAAGGAGTGCAAGCAGCCGACGGGTTTGGGGAGAGAGGGTCTTGGCATGGTGTGCGTGGTGGCGTGAGGGTTGACCAGTCCGTGTATCGTTGGCGTTTGGGGCCCATCACAATCTATCCGCCGGCGCGGATACGGGCGATTTGTACGCCCTCTCTCTCTCTGCGTGTCCAGGGCTGGTGGAATCCGGAGAAAAGGCAAAATAGAGGGAATGATGAGCGGCTACAAGGTCCAAGAGCCAAGGCCGGCCAACGAGCACAGCCCCCATCAAATAGACACAAAACTAGTACCAAATTCATGTGCCGCCGTGATTTCATCCGTAAGTAATACCACATATACCACTTGATCGTTATACCGCCACCGCTCTTTTTCTTATCCACCATCCTGAGGATGAACCCTCTCCTCTGTTTGGGGTTGCCACCTGCCCAGAACGGGTGGCTCCCTCTCAGCGCGCTCATGTCAGCCCAAAGGCGAAGACTGGAGAGGTTTCTTTTTTTCAGTTTTTCAGAAGAAAGCTTCTCGCTAGGTTCTTTTTAGTGGCACAAGGTAGATGCTGGATAGTTTTGAGACTTGGCCCCCGCCCCATCGCGAAACAGACCGATTCGGTTCCCAGCGAAAGAGAGCCCTGATCTCTATAGAAAGCAAAATTGACCAATGAAAAAGGAGAGAAAAGCCGACTGGTAGGTAGACAACAGTTTTTAGCGTGGAATTAAGAAAAAGCCCATTGCCCCCACAATCCCGATAGTCAGGGAGGGTGTGGTCCGAGATGGCAAGCGTCGTCTTGACCTGCCGAATCAAGAACGACAACGAGAGAAAGACGAGGGAGTGAGTAGCGTGTGTTGAAGAACGGCAGTTGGGGTTTGGGATGAAAGTTTTTCTTGCTTTCCCTCTTGGTCGTGCTGACGACGACCAACGACGATCGACTCATCCGTGTCAAGGCCATGATACTTGCCTAGTTTGCTAGTTCAAGCGACGTTATGCGGAGAGCCCTGAGCGGGACATGCTACTGGTACGCTTGAACACGTCCCTCGAGATCTGCATAAGGTTGAGACGAACAGAAACCTAGTAAAAACAGCACACGATACGATAGCTGCAGGACATTTGTGCTCGTGGAGTTTACCCTTTTCTGTAAAACTCGCTAGGCAAAGCCCCTCCCCCCCGGCTAGCCAATCTGGTGACCTGTATCTGGCGCGCGCCGTCGCATCACAAAAAAACGATGGCTGGTGGGATCGCCTGTCCCGCTTGGCGACGCTAATGGGCGGTCCCGCAGTGATTTTTTTGCTTTTTTGCTTTTTTGCTTTTCAAGGCGTTTGAGGCGCTGACGAACACCTTGGTCCTATCCAGCATTCCTTTTTAGAGTGAAGCTACCTGCGGCTCTGCCCTCCCTTGTTTGGTCGTGGCAGCCACGGACAGATCGAGTGTGTTGAAGATGCATGATATGTATTCCACCATATCACACCTTTGCACTTGTCCTCTCCCAATATCAAGGGGTGAGGGGATACGGGGAGTTTTAGGGGGCCAAGATGGACTGCCAGTGCCCTGTTTTCCCTGTAGCCCACTGTAGTCCACTGTAAAGGTTCCACTGCACTGCCCGGTCGATTCTTCGCCTCATCAACATCAGCATCAACAAGCATTCATCACTAATCTCGCTTCGGCCATCGTTCTGGAAGGGCTGCTGCCACGTGTGACCCAATCTGATATCTCCGCCTTCCGTCTTTGTTCCTTTCTTTCTCGGCCGTTCAGCTCCTCGCCTGCCCGCGCGCGCCACGGCTCCGATCCTTTCTTCAGCCTGTAAGCAAACAGGCTCGGACCCCCTTTCAACCCACGAAACGAACAAGTCACAACATACCTTCCTTCTTCTGCTGGATACTCAATGGCTACCAAGTATTACCTAACTACTCCGTACCAAAATCTGCCGTGGGGGTGTGGTCATGGTTTGTGTGTCGCAAGTCTAGTCTGATGCCCTTGCTCCTCGGAAAGTGCCGTCCTTTCTCGACTTGGGACGACGATCCTCTTTTGTTCCTGTCTCATCGATTTTTGCGGCGAGATGATGCACGCCCGCCCTTGCCAATCGCTTCCTCGCCTTCTCTCGTCCTTTTTTTTTTTTCATGTTCGGCTGAGGGGCGCGAACAAGGCCGATGCCCGTTGCAGGCACCATCCATGTCACGATGACCTCTCTGCTCCACCCGCACCGTGCGCGCTCCAGGTTGCCGTCTTTGGCCGGCCGCATGTCCTGATTTCCTGCAGCCCTTCTGCACGAGGTCAGAGATTACTCCCGGTTTTCCCTCCTATCATCGGCCTACCACGGATATCGGGTATTCCCCTGGGGCTCTTTGCTTGCCCTGCCGCAGCAACGCTGGACCCCCATCACCACCAAACCACCGAGTATCCCGAGCATCGATGAAAGTCAACCCATGCGAGTCATGGGTCCTCGTTTTAGTCTTGTATCGACGCGCGCACATCCCTACCAATCTGAGTTTCTGCAAATAGCGTCCAGGAGAAAGACAAGTCTAGTTACCGGAGGCCCAGCGCTTTCCCCGATAATTCATCGCTGCCGCTACAAACCGACTGGAGAATCGAGCCGTCCGAGCACGCGCCCCTGATCAGACAATACAAGGTTTGCCACACTCTCAATACAAGGTTTGCGGGCGCGTCCCTTTGTTCCGCTTGGTCCATGGTTGACCGCCTGCCACCTCGGAGCCACCGGCCGCGAGACACGCAAGATTCAAAACTGTTTTGGCACTCCACCGATCATCTGCCGCTCGGGCCAAAAGGCCTGTTGAAATGGACCTGCCCGCCCGCTATCACGGATCATGGCACCAATTGCCGAAGGGCAGCTCGGGTTTTGAAAACGGGCAGCCCACCCCCAAAACAGCAACATCAGCACAGCCCTGACGCCCATCGTGGCAAACGCTTTTGTCGAACCACGACCAGTGGCGATCGGCATCGAGGCCTAATCTGCACAGCAAGGCCAGTACACACACCCTTTACCCTTGTCTTTTCTCAGTGATTGCCGCTAGTCTCCGGCAGTGCTCGGTGCTTCTACAATACGATACCATCACTAAGCGACCTAGGAATCACGGCAGAGCGTGCCTCTGTCCACTGCTGCGCGTAACACCACACCAGCAGAACGAGAGTGCTCCTCGCAAATTTGGCAAGAGGTTAATCAAATTCTCGCCAGCTTACACAGATGCCACGGAGCAGGGTCGATTTCGGGACTAGCTCGTAGGCAAGGGCTGGCCTGCCTCTCCGATATTGTGCATTACAGGTTCCTGCAGTCACACCCACCCATCGGCTGCCTGATGTGTTGGACCAGATGCCCCAGTAGGCCGCCGTCGTGTTACCCTGCCCGACCGCGTGCCTGTGACACCACCTCCAGCCTTGCTGCGGAGGGAGATTTGCTGCGGCGCGGAGGATTCATCTCACCGCTCCCTGAAGCAATCCTAGCATCGTTACACATATGTACATCGCAATGCTACTGTTACCACACAGTAGGTAGACGACAGCCAAACAAATCAATAGCGGAGGGGCTAACGTCGTCATCTCGCCGGTGGTGGTCACTGGTTGGTGCTACGCCGCACCAGAGGGGAGCACATCTGAGCTAATCGGCCATTGGCGGGACGCACACGCAAACCGGTCCAGCTAGCGGACAGACCTCGGGGACAACGCAGCAGCCGCCCGCGCAAATCGCTCAGGAAGGCGTCGAGAAGCTGAAGGAGCGGGAACCAGGCTAGTAGAAACGAGCTGACCCGCCCTCCTCCATCTGCGTTGCCAAAAAGTGCGATGTAACGCTGTCAGAAATGGTGTGGACGATGAGGCCAACTCCAAACCCGACCAGGCAGCCACCTTTTTTTATTGGACCGTGTTGGAGTCACAAGGGAGGGTTCCTCGTTGGCAAATGTGCATCTATCTTTCAAATGAGTCCCATGCTGTCTATGTCGCACACGGTGTTGCTATTTACGTGGCCCCTGCGAAACGCCTGCAGGATACAGCATGCATGTGAGCAGACCGCACTCGCTGGAAACTACAGATTACTCAGTACAAGGATCTGAGGAGGTGAGACCTCGATTCACAAAAGACCTTGGTTGGTTCGTTGCGGTTAGATTGCACCGTCTCTGGCCTGCGACAAATAACTAGTCTGCGCCCGCTCCAACGGCCGGTCATCAATCACGGACGCAGGGGATCGGAATCGCGATCCAAAACCTGGGAAGAATAATCAATTAAAAAAAAAGAAGGAAGTTGGAGGGGGCGTGCTCGTACCTCTCCAGTGTGTGTGTGAGTGGCTCCCACGCATCAAAGGAACATGAACTAGCGGTGCCAACAAATGGATCCATTTTCCCATGGTAATGTGATGAGACAAAACGACAAAACAGGTAAATGATTTCTGCAGAACGAAAAAAGGGCGAATGAAGAAGGGGAAAAATCGAGCCCCTATAACAAGCTCGTACTCGAAGCTAAAACGAAGACGCACGTTGGTTGGATTTTCGATGGCTGTGCTGTCGATTTCGATTTCGTCATGGCCAGGTGGTTCATCCTACTCGGTCTGCCGATACGGCAAAGAACAGGCAAGCCATGGTTTCCTTGTTACACGTTCCGGTGGAAGCGTTCCTGTTGCTCTTTCAATGAGTAATTTCCAGAAGCGGGGATGTGTACTCGATGCGCCACCAACAAGTCCTATCTTGTGCGACAGAGAGAACAGAGAACGAAGAGACAACCAGATTCATTGGACCAAAGGGGCTCACCCGCCAAATGAACACCAACGACGGCGGCGGGCGGCGTCGCATCGGACTGCATCAGGACAAACATGGTTCCCCTTCAATTCTCCTCCAACTGCCTATCGTGGCAAGATGGACAAAAATCCCGATTTAATTTATGACGGGGGGCGTACGTGGTATTGGCGTGTGTGTGTGTGGGGTGCGCGCACGAAAGCGATGCATGCATCTGATCTGTGAGAGATCCAATGGACGACAAGGCCGTGTCAGTCCGGGCCGCCGCTGGCCGCTTCTTCCGACTTTTGACCAGAAAACGCGGAGGACGAAGCTGACCGGCCGACCAGTGATGGAGAGAATCATGCGAGATATGTCGCCCTATTGGAAAGTTTGGGTATATGTTTGCTTTCTTTGTTGTGTTCTTTTCTTTGCACGCGCTGTTGGAGTTCGCCGCCCTCCATTCACTCCCACACGATGAAAATGAGGGAAATAAAGATCGTGAAAAAGGCGGAAGTCGCGTCGTCGCATTCTGGACCGGACGGCGCAGCCAAGACGAAGCAACTGCGAGGCTCGTCTAACGCGCCCTTCATACCCTACAGATTTGTCATAACGCTACTGTCGGCGACAGCCTCATTCAATCTTGCTGCAACGACAAGAGTAGAATCCCCGCTTAGGAAAGGTTCGCGTGGAGTTGGGTTCGAGGCTGATGGTGTCGCAACGCGAGCGGGTGGTGGCCACTCGTTTCTGTCATAATGGTTTGGTGGGTGCTCGCTCGTCACTGGCGCTTCGCGAGCTGTTTTCCCCGCAAAACCTACCATGGCCGCATTTTTCCATAAATTTGTCGCAACCAACATGGGCCGGAGAAGGGGGGAGACCGCCGTGCGCCGCGAAACACGACAGTTTCTTACCGAGGAGGCTGCCCAAAAAAAAGAAAGAAGGATCCGACACGGAGATTGTTTCTCTTACGCATGATCTCTTCGCTCCGCTGCTGTTTTGCGATGCAACTGCGGGTTTGGACGGACTTGACGCCCGCAAGTCGCCGCCGCATAATCTATATGCGCAGGCTGTTTCTTCCTTTTCTTTTTTCCCACCCGCATCACCCCGCTTCTCGGCCGATGGCTTTCTACGGAGTACGTATTTGTCAGGCCACGACCAATGGAGTGACCTTGTCTGTTTCCCGAGAGGCGAGAGTCACGGGCACGGCTCAATGACTACAGGAAGAAGACATCCGATGGATCTTGATTCCGTGCCGGCCTCGTGACAACCTCGAACGCCGCAAAAAGGCAAACCCGCCCCGTGCATTCCGTATGTTCCGAGGTGTGAGGCAGGGGGTGGGAGAAACCTTTGGTCTCAGATCCAGAAACCAACCTCTTGTGTACGGCCAATGTCGTAGCGCTGTCTAGTTTTGCCAAGCTGAGGTGTTTATTTTTCATGCGACAAGGTCATCGGACCAGTGGCGTTTTTCTTGCCAAACGAGGCGCTTGAATCATGGTGCGTTTCGCGAAAAGAGCTACCCAGCCTCGTTCCCTACCCCCTTGCCACTTGAACCTTGGGGGAAATGCCTCGCTTCTTGATCATCTCAGACCGTATCTTGACGAGGGCAAAAATAAGAGCCTCGTTTACGGATCCATCCCCTGCAGCTGCAGCAAGCCGTTGGCCGATCCAACGCGCCTGAAGCGGACCTTTTGTCAGGCCACCACCACCACCACCGAACGTGTTGGTGTGGTGGTGCCTTGGCCTGCTTTATTAACTATGTCCCAGTAGCGGCCGAATCCTTTGGCGGGGACGGGGGAACGAATGGTACCAACAGAGATTCCCGCTGCCGATGCGTGTATTTTTTGTGTGTATTTTTTTTTTGCTTTTGAAAGTAGTGACATTGTGACGGATAGCCGCACCATGTTGCTCTGCCTGCCGCACGACACCCCTCCCCCCTCAAACACACACATTCACTATTCACTACCACCATGCAACACAGCTGAGGCGAGGCTAACAAAGCTGGCTGTGCCCGCAGCCCTCCTCCCAAATCAGGATGGCGCCATCCAACATGCATCGCTCCGGCGGCGGCGGCGACCCAATCTAAAACCAGAATGAAGGAGCAGGAAACGGGCGTCCACGAAGCAAAGCCGGCGCATGAGTATCCTTTGCCAACCAACCACGCGAAACGTTTTTGCGATTGGGTGACTCGCGAAGCAAGTCGACAGGTGACCTTTTTAGTCTCCCCCCCTTACCTACATACCTACCTGCAGCTGGTGAGCTTCCTAAAACGGAAAACAACCGGCTTCGATATTCTTACTGGTAGTTACACATTGTCACAAAAAGACGAAGAGTTCAATTTAAAATCACGGATGGAGAGCGGGGAACGCCCATTTTCGAGGCGCGACCCTCGAACACCCCGCCAGCCAGCCTTGACCAAAAGAAGAAGTTACGGAAGAGAAATAAAACGATGGCTTGGGTCTCTGACGAGAGAAAGGTAGCCAGCCCACACACGCGTTATCGTAGCCCCAGCTGAACAGCCCCGTTCCAGGAAGAGTCCACGATGAGGCGTATATTGGTTCCATGGGGTACTGCGCCGACATCCCAAGTTTTGGGTCGTTTTTATGGGCCAACCTTGCAACGCCTCGTTCTTCACCATGGAGGGAATGGACCCTGCTCGTATGGAAAAGTTTTGATAGTTTCTTGTCAACTTGCTCAGTGGATACACCAAAACTCTCTGCGAGGGGCCTAGGGCGTGACATGGCTGGGCCAAAGTCTGTATTCTCCGACACGGGGCCGACACGGCGGCGCTTCTCGGTCAAGGAAAAGAAACGACGGGCAAAGGGGGGTGTTGATTCTGCCACAAAAGTCGGCAGTCTCGCGGCAAAAACGGGCGCAAGTCGGTCTGTAGGAACGGGACGGCGTTGGGCTGGAAGTGGAAAGTACGGAGCAACAAGAGGTGGCATTTTATTGGAGACATTTCTTGGCTGCATTTGCATTACGTGGGTGGAAAGCTGGACATCAAACGGCTCATCAAGTGGCAAAAAGAGACAAAGGAGATCAAGATAGGCTGGCTGGCGCGATGCAGCTTTTGCGATATGGGCCACTCGAGCGAGTCAGCGGCGGCTTGTTCCGTACCACTAACTGTGGCGGGGTGTTACACCGTAAAATGACAGGATGAACTTGTCACGACAAGGGCCGAAAGAGAAGTCCATGTACGGACAGACAGCAGGTCCATTTCTGCATTCTTGGCCCCGGCTGGGAACGTGGATACTCGGCGGATACGGAGTGGTCTTCTGGAAGCAGTCGATGAGATTGTACTTGACTCGGCGTTTTCAATACTAATTTACTCACCAGGGCGGAGGATTGTCAACTCGAAACCTGACTCATTCTCACAACAGGCCGACGAAAATAGCCAAGACACAGCATTGTAAACAAAGGGCCAAATTTTTTTTCCATCTGGACCTTGAACATGAAGATTCGCGGCCATACCCATGCCCGGGACCGGCCTTGCAAAAAAGGTTGGCTGGTCACGCTAAAACGCCATCGAATGTTGCATGCAACACTGGAACGAGCGGCAGTTGCGCAAGGCATCGTCGACATCGGGTCATCTAGGGCCTTGGGGCAACGCCTCATTAGAAAAGAGAAGGTGACGAAGAGAAGCATCGTTCGGTGACGGGACAGATTGGGCAAAGTTTGTTGTGCTGCGCCGCCCCTGAACCTGAAGACCATGCCCCCCCTCGCCAAGGAAAGACAACATATGACTAGGCGGAAATGATAATACACCGGAATCTAGGCAAGCCTCGATTCAACAAGAGGATCCTCTCAGCTCAAGTAGTCGGAGTAGGCTCCGGGTGAGCCGCGGGGAGGGGGGGAGGAGTAACGTTGGGGACTACACTGGACTACGACTTGGCGCTGGATGATTTGGCCGCTTCCAAGAATGGTAATCCCGGCCGCCCGTAACTAATTCGTACTGGCTGGGCATTTGTTGTTAGACGACGTTTTCTCGACAGACTCGTCGTTGTTGATGCGGGCGTACTGGACCATAACCGATGCGCTCATCTCGGGGAAGAGTAAAGATGTTTTAGCCAAGACAAGGGCGACGGCTGTGCGGGCGAAGGCTGTCATGATGGGATCTTGGTGATGAAGGATCAGAGATGCGCCGGAGCCTGCTTTGTTGCAGTCAGCAGGTCAGCAGCTTCCAAGGCTTTCCTTCGTCTAGAGCGGGCCATCGCGGCGTGGGTCGATGCTCATGTCACTTGAGCGCCAATAAGCCCCAGCTGGTGGCCTCGTTTCTCGTGACCTTGATTCCGTGCTTTTCGCGCCTTATTAAAGTCTTCGTCTGCACTTGCGATTATGTACAAAGTAAGTGGATGTCATGCCATGCCACCAAGCGGTCCCGGCTACAGCTTCCAGTGGCTGTTTTTTTCTGGGGCTGACCATGGAAATTTGCACCAGGGAAAACAAAAAACGCCACGCCACGAGGGAAAACATCCCTGACTCCGTCCATCGGATCTCACTATTTTACGGTTGCAGGTACCTGAAGGGGGGGACGTAGCGGACCCAAGAGAGAGGAGCTGCGTGAGATTTCCGTCGGAGATGGGCCAGTTTTAGAAACCGAGGTAATCGTCACGCCTTCGGAACTTGTCCACTAGAGAAAAGGGGGGGGAGGGGTCCGCGGGCGGTTATTTTCTGGGGGATTGGAGGTTAAAAAAAAAGAAGAGATGGATCGGATCGGATTGGTGATGAAAGGCCGTGATCAAAGATGGAAAAATGGTATGCTGGGTAGCAGATGGCGATGGGCATCTGCAAATCTAGAAATGGAGATTTTTCGCGAATCGTAAAAGGGAGGCCGACCATCGGTTAGGCTAGTTGAACCGGCTGGATGGGCTGATAAAAGGTTGCGCTCGCGCGCGCAAAGCTATTTACTGGTACCAGACAAAAAAAAAAAAAAAAGACTTTCGGCCGGGTTCCGTGGTTCGTTGCCGCCCCTCCTCGATTCATTCAGCTGGCTCACAGCCCACCACCACCCACTCTAGTTAGCGAGTAATACCTAGAGGGGAAAAAAGACGACGACGACGGACGGGCAGTGATGCAGCGTCGACGTTGGAGAGAGAGAGAAAGGGTGGTCGGGCGATGCGGCAAGACAAAGAGATATGGGCGCACAGATGGGGCAGGGGGGGAAGCACGAGATATTGCTGGCAGAAGTGGTACGAAAAGAGAGATCTTGGTTGTGTTGCGTCGCGTCTGCTGCAGGTGGCCTTGTGATGGGTTGCCGAAAGAAGACGGCGCGGAAAAAAAAGGAAAAAAAAAGAAAAGGAAAGACAAAGGATGGACGATGACGCGCGCGCGGCCAACTCTAACAGGTAATAGCTGCCTGAACGGGTGGTGCTACATACAGTACGTGGTAAAGTGTCGTCGTGTCGTGGGTAGTTGAGTGTGGCGGTGATGGGGGGGGAAGCCGTACGAAGCACCAACATACTGGTACCAATCAATCAATGCTGGCTACAAAAGAAAACAGCAAGGCAAAAACGGGCGACGATGGGCGAAGCCAAGATACCAAATGGAACCGGTTTACCAGTCATTAGCCTGCCGCGCGATTCATCCTAAACCGTGCCCCGTCTTTTTCCTTTTTGGCTGCCAGTAATTTATCGCGAGCTTGTCTTTTTTTCTTCACGCCCTCCTCTCCCCACCAAGGAGAGGAGGCGTGTTTGTAAGACTTGGCCGAGTAGCCCAAAGCACACCCCACAGCACACCCCCCCCTTCGTTTTTTTATCTGAGCCCTGCCCATGCCAAGTCAGATTGTATCGACGGCCTAAAAACGCGCCAGATCCCTCCATTTCTTGCTGCGCACACGCCCCCTCCCTTTTTTACTTTTTTTCTTTCTTTTCTTGCATCTTATTTCTTTTTTTTTTTTCCAAGCGACCGATGCGGTGGCTGGCCTGCCCACACCCCATCGGTCGGTCCTCTTCCCCCCATCGGCTTGAGGTGCTCCATTGCCACGCGCATTCTGGAAAGGAAGGACTGGGTAAGGCAGGCGGCGATGGGACAAGCTATTTTTTTTTAATTAATTAATTAAAAATCGACCAAAAGAGGTCCGCACCAGTCACACCTTTCATCATCCCGCACGCCACAGAGCAATCCTTATTGTACCCTCCCCCCCCCCTCGTCTAACTCGTCCGTCTTGCATATGAACAAGCCTGCCCCAAACATTTCATCTTTCCTTTGACTCTTGGATCTTGCACCCTTTCTACGCCGTTTTTCTTTTCTCGCCCACTACACGTAGACTTCTTCTTATCCTTCAACAACAAACAAACAACAACAACACTACTTCTTCTTGGCCGCGCCTTCCATTCACGAATAGGCGACAACGAAGCGAACGGCACCAAGGGTTACCAACAATCACAAACAAGCACACCGCAACATCACCGGGCCGGCCATGGCAGCTGCCTCCGTGCTCACTCCCAGCTCGCACTATCAACCGCCCTCCTTTGCCGCCTCGACTTACCCGCCACACTCATCATCGTCGTCATCATCTGGTCCCTCACCCACACCAAACATGATTTCCTCGGCAGAGCCGCCCCGTCGAACCGGCGATGATAGCAATAGCAGCAACGTCCCCGAGCCGCCCGCCCGCCAGTCGCTGCCCTCTATCTCTGAGGTCATCTCGGGTACGCGCCCGGGACAGTACCCGCCGCCGCACAGCAGCATGCCGCCCCAGCCCAGCACCGGCGGCCTGCCGTCGCCCTTTGCTCCCCCGTCGCGCCAGTACAGCGACTCAGACAAGCACTCGCGCTCGCCTCAGCCGCTGCACCCCGTCTCGTTCCCCTCGCGGCAGGACGCCATTCCCGCCTTTGCCGACTCCCCGCGACCGCCGTTCAACGGACGCCCGGGCCTGCCTCCCGTCACCGATCGCAGGCCGACACCCCCCAACAAGCAAGACGGCCACGGCCCTATGCACCACGACCACCGCTCCGTGTCGGGAGGCTACCCTCAGCCGCCTGCGCCCACCTCGCACCCCTACCAGCCCGCCCACCTGCCGCCCGGTCAGATGCCGCTGCCCGGATACCCCATCTCGCCTCGCCATGAGCACTACGACGCTCCCCGTCCCCAAACACACGGCGAGCCTGCTCCCTATGCACGCAGCAGATACGAGGCAGCTCCTAGGCACTACGAGAACTGGACCTACCACGAGTCCTTTAGCCGCGTATGTTTTCCCAATGCCCGTTTCGCCTAGGGCGTAGTTGCTGACAAGTCCACACAGATTGGCTCCAATTCCCGCACACTCTTCAACTTTGCTGAGGCATACGGTCGGGCAGCTCAGGAGCAGCAAGGCGGCCAGCCCTCGGTCGAGCGCTTGCCCAGCGAACGCGAGGTCAACGAGATGCTCGCCAACGTCGATTATATCCGACGCTCCCTTGAGCAGGTCCGCGACATTGTTCAACATACCGAGCGGGCTCGTGAGGGGGCCAAGGCCAAGAGCGCCTACGAAGAGATGCATGACGTAAACATGTACAATGATGGCAAGCCTCACTATCCTGTCAATGAAGTAAAAAAGCGCCGCGGTGTAAGCCATACATTGCCACACCCCCTGTCTGCATCTAGCCACTAACTTTCAATAGCGAGCTGCCCCTCCTGGACGTTGCCACAGTTGTAACAGAATCGACACACCCGAATGGCGACGTGGCCCCGACGGTGCCCGCACTCTGTGCAACGCCTGCGGACTGCACTACGCTAAGCTAGAGCGCAAGCGCCAGACCGAAGCCCGATCGCTTGGACCAAAGACCGAGGAGCGCAATTAGGCGGTTGAGGACAAAGAGACTCCCGGCGGACCACGGTTGACCCACGGGTCTACTGCACGCCGTCGACGTGTTTCGGGAACAATGGAGAACGCGATGCGATCCAGATAGGACCATGTCTCCATGGCGGCGGGTTCGAGACCGTCGAGTGACACGGGCTTGCTCAAAAGACTCGAACCTGGCCCAAAAAAACAACACGTCACTCACGGACCGACTTTGCTCGCAGTCTGGTGACGTACGCAAAAGCTAAAATACCCCAATAATCATATCGACTTGGCCAAGGAATATGATCTAGAGCAGTGCACAAGATGCGCGCGTGTTTCCACTACAAGGATGACTTGAGAGCGACAGGGAGGTGGGAAATGGAGGGCATTCATCACTGGCGTTTTGGTTTTTCTGGTTTTATTTCTACGGATGATTATTGGCCCGGGATAGATTCCCGAGCTGACGCCGTTTTTTTCTTTTTCTTTTTCTTTTTTTTTTTTTTGAACACGAGTGTTCAATTTTGCGTTGTTTTACTTTGTGTGTGGCCGCCATGTGGGTAGGCCCTGCAAGGCTTCGTGGCGGCAACGTCTTTTTGGGTTGGAAACAACTGGGAGTTTTCGGGGTCTTGTTTTTTCGTTTGCCTCGTTGTTTTTGCTTCACAATATCATCGGGATGGCCAAGCTTTGCGCTTTTGATGCAGCTTTTTTCCTTTCTTTATGCAGTTATAGACTTGATGGTTACAGAAGAGGGCGGAGCAAGAGATTACGGCAACGGTTGTCTTGGAAGTAAATACGCAAAACCAATTACAAACATTTTATCAAAATTAAACAAGCTGCTTTGGGGAAGCCTTCAGGAGTATGTTGGTACTACGCTTGATGACGGGGTGGCCGAAGAATGGGGGTGGCAATTATCGAAGGACAACATACCAGGAAGCGCAGATGCCCCTTGGCCCGAGCCATGCAGATAGAGAGCCAAGGGCGCGCCGCACCGGGAATCCATGTACCCATTGTCTGGAAACGGACAATCTGTAGGTGTCTTTGTTCCGTCCATCTGCATAATGTCATGTGTGTGATATGCGGGCGAGCTCGATCCGATGGAACAAGCACATATCAGATGAAGGGGGGTGAGGTGAGTTCCGACTGGAAGCTAAACAAGATGTTTGTTTTCGAATGCTTGATTCTTTCTTCTTAACCTCTTTGCTCCTATTGATTGATATACCTTTTTTTTTTTCCGGGCGTGTTTTTTTGGTGGGTGCATAGTGCGCGCGCGTGCGCAAATCTGTCTCATGTCCCGGGCGGTTCTGGGTGGTTTTAGCGCCGATGAAACATGGAGAGATCTAGAAAGAGACAGAGAGAGAGAGAGAGATCTTATTGCCAGAAAACGGGCCGGTCGGTAACGCCAATGAACTCTTTTGCCACTTGACCAGGCACATTATCCACTGAATGAAAAAATGCCCATGTTGCCTCAATCTCGGCATCCTTCGGTCTTATTACGACATTTTTTTTTTCTTCTATTCAAACTCGTTGTTTCCTTTGTTTGCCCGCCGCTGATCAACTATCTTTTTTTTGCACAGACCCGGCTCTCGAAAATCTCACCCATCGCAGGACAGCCCACCCCCCCCCTCTCTATGTATGTCTCTGTTGGGTTCCTTTTTCCAGTTCGACCAAAAAGAAAATGTCTCGACTTTTTCGGGGAACAGCTTCCGGACGCACTTATCGCGGGGGGGCGCGCCAACCAGCTGAAAGTCAGGAATGCTTGGGGGGGGGGGGTACGCCACAGTATTAACGATATTGCGATCCGTTCTTTTTTCGTATAATATTTTTTTGGCTCGTGACTGCAAGGAATGTGCCATCTTCACTTGTGACAGGTAATCAATCACATCTTGACAAAATCTTAAATCGCCATCGCTCGACGCACTACTTTGAACTTAAGCAGCCTAGCCTGGACATCGCGTATTGAGACAGAACCACCCGCTTGCATCTGCTGGAGCCGGTATCAACTTAGCGACACAACCATACATTTGCATTTACTGGAGAAGGCCTTGGTCTTGTCGTATCGCACAACATAATAAAAAAACCGAGACAAAGACAGCCCGGGTAAGAAGAGTGTTGCGAATGCATGAGCAACGACGTTATCCTTTGGGCACCCGCCACCTAGACTCGGGACTTGTTCCGTGTCTGAGATGCTTCTTCCCGTGTACGCGGCGGTAGATTACCAAACGGGGAAAACTATGCACTACGTCCGCATCGCCCACGGAAGAGGGCCAAAAAAGGGGGAGGGGGGACTGAGAGCAAGCGGGCAGACAAACTTTCTTTCAAAGGGCGCCTCTAGTAGTAGCCCCGAGACTCAATAGACCCGCGGCTGCGGGCCCATGAATCCCGATTCAACGGTAACGCCAAGAAGAAGAGGAATTAAACCCTTTTTTTTTTCGTATGACTCGTGGGAATGGAAGGGGAAAAAGGCATAGCGCGTGCATCGACTATTGCGCGATCCGGCGTTGTCGCATATCCCCTTGAACAATGAGGTAATACATACATACACAAGAGGCTGGGGTATCAATCATGTAATTTCCAGTCGTTTGGAAGTGGGGTTTTTTCTTGCTTGTCAGATCGCCGTCGCGGAACAATGGCGCCGGAGACAAACAACCCTTGTTCATGGGCAGATTGGCGAGTTGTGTCCTGGTCTGTGATAAAAAGGCCCAAAACCAACAAGAAGAGGACAAGAGCTTGTTCAAGGTTGTTGCTTCATAGTCTCATTGACACCCCAGCCGGCAAGCTTTTGAACCCCGGTCCGATCTTCCATGCCCCTCTCCAAAGTCAACCCAGCTTTGTTTTTCAACGGCGCAAATCGAGGCGCGCCGCCGCCGCCGCCGCCGGGGCATGGGCCTCGAACTTCCCCGAGGCACGCAGCAAGCCCAAAGTCCCGACGATCACATTTTACGCCCGCAAGAACTTCCATCACAACAAAAAAAAGCCCGATCCCTCCCCCTCTTTTACGGGCGTGAGAACAAGACTGGTCATTTTTTTTTTCTTCTTCGTCTTCGTCTTCGCCTGACGCCCTGTGCAAGCCAACAAAGGGTGCTCCATTTTGGTGTCGCGCAGTGCGGGCGCGCCCCCCCTCTAACTGCAAGGCATTTGCTAGCTTGATGACGAGGCCGCTATTGATTAGGAGGCGGAGGGGGGCTATTGATGACATTCTCTACCCGGGTTCATGTCATCGCAGTGTCACAGACTGTTGGTGGTGGGCCTGGCTTCATCGTTGGAGAAGAGAGAGAGAGAAGCCTCGGATCTCAAGGGGGGGCGGGAACGGGGGAAAAGGGCACGCCCCGACGGTTGTACTTTGGACCCTGAAGCGTTTATTATGACTTGAGAAATGAAGAAAAAATGTGAGCGTTTTTTCGCGTTGACGCAGATGCATCTTGGCGTGTCTCGCTTTCTGGTACCGGGAAAAGTTGTTCTTTGATGCAACTGTTTAACCATCTCATAGTTTTTCGTGATCCCTCACCAAACAAGGACCAGGCCTTGTCCGGATACAAAGCACGGCAACGAGATTTCGATCCATAAAAACCACCCGGGTTTTCTTCTCCTTTCGAATCGGGGGCGCGCGCCATGATTCCTCCTCGCCCCCCCCCCTCTCTCTTCCCCCCTTGGCGGTGACATCTTGAAAGCGCCACAAATGCCGCCGATCGCGGTGACGAGGCATACTTTTCTTTTCTTTTTCTTCTTCTTCTTCGTCCGCAGCACCCCCTCCCCGCGTGCACGGGTCGATGGATCTGACAGCGCACACATGCAGTTAATCTATGTCAGTCGCAGGCGAGTAGGGAGACGGACACGCATGGCATCGGGGAGGGAGGGGGTGTGTGTGGGAGAGTTGCTGAAATACCGCTTGAGAAATCCTAGTACTGCAATACGCCTCACGTTTCTTTTATACCTTCTTTTTGTGCTTTCTTTTTCCTTGTCCCTTGCGACTCTGCAATCTATCGTAGACGGCAGATGGCGTCCCTTCCCTGGTCACCTTTGGGTTAGGCCGGCCGCCAACCCCGGACGGCCCGTCGTCTTCGGAGAGAAAAAAAGAAATGCATGTCATTTGCACCAGTGAACGAAGCCTTCTCCGGCCTTCTCTGGTGCCTCGGCATCGTCCACATTTGCACAAGCAACGAAAACCTCGCAGCCCGCCCTTTCGCAATACCCCCGTCACACAGTTTGAAGTGCCTTTTGCTTTTTGACACCCTCGTGTGTGTCTTGTTCTATCTAGGTTCGGCCATGTCACAAGATGACTTACACACAACTCACACACCCCCCTTTGTAAAGCCCCCCCGTGTGGAACGCGTACAACCCCCAGCAAAAGGCTACCTGCATGATGGATCTCAAATTCTTGTTCACTCGTTCTTGTGAGCGCCGACAACGCAAGCAAGAAAAAAAAAAGGGCGGAACGGGTTGTACAACGAAAACGTCGCCCATCTTAGCAAATAGGACAGCTGGCTCGGGGCTCACCGCTGGCAGAGAGAGATCCGCCCAGAACTCTGTCGCCCGTCTCGTGTAACTGTGATTGATGGGACGGACCATGAGGCAAGTCCGACGGACACACCTGCTGTATACTCCCGATGTCTCTGGCTTCGTCCTTTTTTTGTTCTCTTGTTGCTGCACTAATTAGTGAATCTCTCTCACTACTATTCCACTACCCCCCCCCCCCCCCCCCCACGCCCCTCCTTGGTCGTGTCCTCGCATTGCACTTGGGTGACAAGAAAATAGAACATGTTTTGGGCTCCCGGGCTTTTCGTGTGCCCATGTCACCTGACAAGTCGACCGTTATTCACAAGCGCAAGCCACGCAAAAGACCGCGCCGTTCGGCGGGTGTAATGAGGGAAGGAAGGGGGCGTGTGTATACCAGTTATCCGTATACGTTATTCGTTACGTGTATGGGGTGGACGAGACAGAAGCAGCATCATCAAGGCGCTCACCGGGAGAGAGCAGTTTCCCCCCCCCCAGCCCTCTTGTTGTGAGGCGCGCGCGCGCTCACGCGCTCCACCGGCTGCGACTATCCTATTCCTTCTTCGCCCGACAGATGCCAAAGCGTTCGATGAGCGCCACGCCCGCTGTTTGAAAGCCCTTGGGGATGCAAAGAATGGGCAAGACACCGAGCCCGGATTTGGTTCAACCGGCGCGCCGACCCTTTTTCGCCCAGCCGGATGGCCGCCTGTGCCATGTCGTTAGCCGATCCCGCCTCGAGGACCCTTGTGATTTGATCTTGTTTTACTTTTTTGTCTCGAGCGCCCATTTTTGTTTTGTCCTGGTTCGTTTGTCACAAATTTTTTGTGTATATTCTTTCCGGTCATATCTCAGCCACTCGTAATCTCTTCTCCCTCGTGTCGTCCCTTGTCGTTTGCGGCAACGAAAGGGTGTGAGCGCGATGAACGGCCCGTCGGGTAGATTTAGTGGGGATCGCCGTTGGGCGGCCTGCCCGAGCAAAGTCGTTAAGGCCGCCTGCCGTGTTGCCTGCAAACGGTTACATTCATCATCATCACCACCAACTGCCATCTTTCTTTTTTGTGTTGCCTCTACAAACAGCCACAATCTCTCTCCTGACCCATCGGTTATTCTCATCTCGTTTACAACCTGCACCATGCTGTGTACCGCCTACGCAGCCACCGACTCCGCTCTCGCAGAAGCAATCACACAAGAGCCTGCTGCCCTTCGATCGCCCAAACGCTGAATCGCGCCCAGCTGTGGAGATGGGCGTCGTGAGACATCGAGGTATCAGCGTTTTGTTTTTTTTTTTTCGCAAAGGACAAAGTGCCAATAAAACCGCTGCCCACACAGCGCCATCTGACCATGTCTCAGCTTTTTTCGCTGCGGCCGCCCGATGTTCCGAGACCTGATGGCCTGTCTGTCTGTCGCCTTACCACGCAGCTTTTGCTACCCTTCAGCCAAGCCTTGGAACTACGGCTATTGCTCTCATCCGCGGTATTGGTCTCGCGATGTCGGCTAATAAACACCAATAACCACATGCCTTCGGAAAAGCCCCCTTCCCCCCCCCGCGACGTTGCCTGCAGGTTTGGTTGCCCATGTCAAATATGACAAAAGTCGTCTGGCTGGCTGCAGACAGCAGAAATCTACGGACGCCTTTCCCAGAGTACAAATGACGCCAAGCGTTATGCTACCTATTTCGCGCATTGAGGTGTTTGAGATTGACTTAGATGGCAAGAAAAGTTGCCCTAGACTGCTTTGCACCACAGTGAAAGCTCAGGTGGTTTGTCGTTTGACCCGCTGCGACGGCCTTGTGACTGCTTACATTCCAACTATGCAGGCGCGCGCCGTTCTCCGTTCGGCAATTGCGATGCGGCGTCAAACCCACTCGGTCTGGTCGCTGGAAGAAGCAAATGTTGGCGCTTTTCCTCAGCTCTGTTGGCGAGCCATCTTCAGGCCTGAGGGACGACCAGTGATCTCCCGTAACGAATACCAGTACAACTACCAGTACACTCAACAGAAGCTGGAATTGTTGCCACACAAGAACAACGTCAACCACGCTCGTTTAAGCGAGCGCCGCCAGAATTTTGGCTCGTTTCTAGATCGAACATCTGCCGGGATATACGACATGCCAGCCGCCGCACTTGAGCGATCAGATTTCATTCCAAGCGTTTGACCAAAATGTAAGGGGAAAATGCATGACGCTTTGAACCCCCGTCTGTCCAGCATGTCTTGCATGGATCTTGATCTATGTAGCAGTTTGATAAACTTGTCGCACACGCCCCTGGAGATTCATCTGCTCTGCACTAGCGCCGGCACCAACTCTCTCTGTCTCTGGTGGGCATGACTGGCGCTTTGGCGCATCTCATCCGGATCTCGCTTCCGCTGCAGCTAGTGCCAATCTCTCTCCCAGACATAGGACGTGCTGGCGCAGTCCTAGGTCCCCCTTCTGAAACACTGACAGCCTGAAGACTGATGATCTCACACAATCACTTTACGGTCCGCGTGTCTTATATTACGCCTGTGAAGACTCTGCCATTCCGAAATTCGGTAATCTTGATTTCGCTACCGCTGGTCTCCGACTACCTGGTGAGATGTCTACCAGCAGTTCGCCGAACTATGTCCGGCGCCTATTATGGCGGGTCAAAGACGATCAAACTGATGCATCAGCTGCACGAGTGACCGCTACAGAAATCCACTGCAAGCGTCAGCATAAATTGAACCAGATGTATAGAATCTCCGCAAAGTTCTGAAAGGGGAATCCTGTCAAAGAGCTTATATCGTCCGCTATCTGTCAAGAAGGCGTCTCTGTTCAACAGACCAGGTAATTGTATCCTGCAAGGAATTTGTCACATCTTTACAGCTTGCATATGCCGTGCCTGTAACGCCTCGGCAATGGAAAATTGGTGATGCGACGTATGACTGCGCTGATATACTCGCCCACATTCCGGGATCGTTCAGCTTGGCAGCGGTCAGCAGACTCAGCAAGCAGAATGTCTCAAGACCTCCCCGTTGCAATCTGGTATTGCTACGACAGGGGCGTCAGTATGGTCAAACGCATGCATGAGATGAGGCTTTGGCTCCACCGCTGCTCTGAGTAATGCGAATCAGTGTGGTGAAGGGCTCACGTCCACGCACACCGCTATCAGTGGTGTGACGACAGCCAGCTTCATACATTCTGAGGTCCCTATATTTCTCCGCTGATATTCATCTCATCCGTCCAAGTATTCAGCGGTCCCGACGGGTCTACTGAATAACGGAACGGGAAGACCAACGACGACGGCCCCGGTGCGGACCATGACGCAAAGCCCAGCATACGACACGGGTCTGACATACCCAGCACGACATGATATGAAGTCGCCGTACCACCGTACTGGATACAATACTGCGGAGAACCTGCTGGTACATTTCAGGTCATGCTACCCATATGTCGCCAAGCGCTATGCTATGATTGAGTTGGCCGAGCTACCTGAATCCTGCGTTGGCGTGCGTTGGCCAGTGTGTCACTAGTTTGAGGAATATTGGACGGGTTTGCAGAAGCGTTCTGCCGCTACGATCTCTTGTCTAGGCTCTTAGCCTGATAAACATCTGCCGATGCAACGTTCAGAGACACGACTTTGCGCCGGCTCATTCCAAGCTGCCGGACACACGCCGGAAAAATACCAAACCGGGATGGCGCGATGACTCCAAATACAGCGTCCACTGGCAATGGGGTCCAGCCTGTTCTCCAAAAGGGACGTATTGGGCAGACTCGCGATGTCACACATCCGAGGTTGCAGTGTGAGGCATGGGGTTGTTGACGACGTCGGCCCTCCCTGCCCCGAGGGGTGTGCGGCCAATCTCATCACTCCTCTTGATTGTTCTTCAACACACCCGGCTACAGTTGCATTCACAGATACCCTGTGAGTTCATCTTCTGGAAACCGCGCTACGTGCTTCGACAGCGTTGCGGAGCGGGCAAAGCGGGTTTCTTTTGGCCGGCAGGCAAGAATGGTCCTGAAAAATCGGAATGTCACTGGAGGCAGCAGGGGCAAGGTACCCTGTCGATTGACTACTGATTTTGCTATATTGGCTTTTGAAAAGGGCGTGTCCGTTGGACTGTGACGGACAATATCGGACTAGTGCCGCCGTCACTGAGCGCCTGGCCAGAATGCAGGTAGTTTGTGCCGACGCCGGCGCCAATGTTAATCTACATAGCCCTCAAAACGAACCCGCGTCCCATCTCGTCATATCTCGCTCTCGTTCTCTAAAGCAGGATAGAGTCTTCCTGAAGCCATGAGGGGGCTGCTGGCCACTTACTCCGTACCGTGTAATGATCCTACTCGAACGGGGTTTGTCCATACGAGCCTCCGAATGAGCTGAATCGCAGCTTTTGCTGGAGGTCCTCGAGTTGGTGGGTTTTGGCGAAAACGAACCCCATCTGTACTGACTGACACACGTCTGCCCCCCTCTGGCTGGACGCAACTCGGGTCCGCTGCATTTACGCGAAAGTGGTTTTGTCTCTGGCTAATCAGACGGGTGGCACGCTGTGGTTGTGCCGGGAAAAAAAAAATGCTGGAACATGGTAAAGGGGAGGGTTGCATCGGACCTCTCGCAGCTGTCCATCGCTGTCGATTTCAAAAGAGCCGAGGTGGAATGGGGGGGCTAGTGCTGCTGTATTAGCGGGATCGTCCTCGGAGCTGAAAGCGGCAATTATGTGCGATTCTCAGGCACCGATCATCAACCCCCCCTCCTTCAACTAGCAGAGATTGGTGGTCGAAAGGACGCTTCGGCATTTGCAACAGCGAACATGTCGTCCGCCCGGCAGTCCGGAGTCGCGATGCATGGATGACGAATGTGGCAGGTTTCCGTACATGGGGTATTTTTGGCCCTGGCCTAGTCCGGCACAGCCTCATCTTCTTGTCTACTATCGCCCCCCTCCCGGCTTTCGTTGTCCCCAGCTGTGAGCCTTGCTCTCGACGTCAGAGCCAATCTACCGCGGTCATTTGGGCATCGCTTGTAGGCATTGGCCGATGACAAGCGGGGAATATACTGGTAATCAAAAGAGGGCGTCGACAAGGGGAAGGGAAGGGAAGGAAAGCTCCTTTCCAATGGAAGGAAGTTGACCGCTTCTACTGGAACGGAATTTTGGGATCAACAACCCCCCACACGTTCATTCGACGACGACCGGGGCAGGGGGGGTGTGCCAATCTCGAGTCAGATTTCGTCATTGACAAGATCCGAGCAGTTGGAACAAAGAGCAGGTTTTCTTTCTTCTCTTGGCGAGTCATCCCTTGTCATATCGAAAGGGAAATATCGAAATAAGAGATATGTGCACGTTGGACTATACACCCGTCGCATCTAGATGGTTTTTCTTGCTCGCGTGACCTAGCTGGTGGTGGATACGATACGGTGGTGCTAACATTCGATACGCCTTTTGGTTCCGTCATGGGCTATTCTAGCGTTGGACTTTGACAACCCACAGCGCTATCACTGGGAGAATGGAATAACTTGGACGGTCAAGTGGTTCGGGACTGCAGAGAGCGCTCGCGTGGAAAGCCGGCCGTTCCGGTAAAGCGCAGGTTACGGTGTCCAGCTTCGCCTTGGCTGTCGGTTGAGTCGGCGCACCTACCTCCCTTTTGGAGAACGGAGTACAATACGGGCAGTCCTGTACTTGACTGGCTGGCGTATTGACGTACGCTCTCCATCTAACTACAGCAAGCCGCCGGTCCTGGCTTGGCCTCACGCCCCCCTCCAGCGACATGCGATCTCTGATGGTGGGTTGTGGCTCTTGCATTGGCCGTTGCTCCCGACACTCGTGGCCTCGAGCATCAGATGTTGTGGCTACGGTCCGCCGTCGCTCTCGCCTCGAACGCGAGTAATGGCCGCACATCCACATGTATGGTATTTGTGGACTCTATTATTCCTATCTCTGCGACCCTCGATTACACCGATGGATCTGGATTCAGGCCGCCCTGACCATGCCTCTAGAAGCATTCTTAGTTTTTCCTTCTTCTCCCTTTGTTGTCCACTTTTTTTTCTGCACCGCCGTCCTTTCATCTTGACCTCCATCGGACTCCATCGGAGCGAGTCAGTCAATCGTCTCATCCCTTCTGACAAGGAGAAAAAAAAAGGAAAAGACCCCTCAAGAATGATCCATCGGCGTGGAGCCAAAGAAAGAACAGGACTTTGAGGCTTGACATGGGATGGGGCGATGGACACGACGTCGTAAACGGCTTGGACGAAGCGCCGAGCTGTTATGTAACGAGATTTTATGAGAGGAGTGGCAGAAAGGAGGAGAAGAGGGTAGCGACGGAGCAAAGTGAAGGTCTAGGTTTACGTTAGCTTGGGAAAATGGGGTGCTGTGGTTGAATATGATGGATCTGGTGAGAGGACGTGTTGGTTGCCTGTGGCTGCTGTTGGCTACAGACGTTTGCTTCTCGGCGCGAAACAGAAATAATGCATATGCAGCATTGTGGCTCAGAATCTGAAAAGAGCTTATAAGCATCTTGCTCTTTGAGCGTTGGATCGTAGGGGCTGGGTAACAATCGCTCCAGTATTGATCATGATGGCAGTCGGGCCGGCGCGGCGGCATCGCGACTCTAGGGTAGCAATCAGCAACAATCTTTTGCACGAGCTGTAGGACGCGATATCAAGCCACTCGTATTCCAAGATGCCAAGTTTAGGCGCAGAGCACTGGGTTGTCAATAAACTCGGCGAGCAAACTGCTTTCGTAGCGAGTCTTGGAGGCATGATCCAACCAAGAATGCACTACATTTATAGGAAGATGACGTGTCGGGGAAAAGAATATTCATCATTATCTATTACAACATGTCAGGTATATCATTCTCTAAATCTCCAAAGAGACCTTGAGCGGCAAGTCTCTGCTGCTCGTGCCCAGCGCCAACGTATACGTCCCGCGCCGCAGCTGCCACTGCTGCGTCTCGACGTTCCACGCGCTCAGGTCGCGGCGGGTGAGCGGAAACGACGCCGTCCTCGCCTCCCCCGGCTGCAGGTAGACCTTTTCGTAGCCGCGCAGCTGCTGCCAGGGCGGCGCGTCCTCGCCGGCGGGAGGCATGCCCACGTACAGCTGCACGACCTCGGCGCCGGCGTGCACGCCGCCCGTGTTGCGCACCTCGACCGTGACCACGGCCAGGTTGTCCCAGAGGTCCGCGCGGCCGCCGGGGATCACGGCGCCCGTGGGATACTCGTCCACGGTGGTGGCAGCGGCCCCCGCGACGCGCCGCACCGCAGCGCCCGCCAGGCCAAACGTCGTGTAGCTCAGGCCGAAGCCAAACGGGAAGCGCGGGGCAATGGCCTGCCGGTCAAAGTGGCGGTAGTCGGTGTACACGCCCTCGGAGAAGTTGGACTGCGGGAAGTGGGCGAAGCGGTCGCCAGACGGCGGCGTGCTGCTGGGGCCGGGGGCCGGATAGTCGCTCTGGTTCCGGGCGAGCGTGTAGGGCAGCTTGCCGGACGGGTTGGCGGCGCCGTAGAGCAGCGCGACGAGGGCCGGCCCGGATTGCTCGCCGGGCAGGTGGGCGAGCAGCACGGCGGTGACGTTGTCGTGCTCGATGAAGGCGTCGACGACGCGCGGGCCGGCGTTGTGCAGGACCACAATGGTCTTGGGGCAGCGGTCGGCGACGGCGCGGACGAGGTCGTCCGTGTACGCGTCGTGCAGCGCCGGGCGGTCGTACGCCTCGCAGGCAAACGCGTTGCCAAAGACGATGCACGCGTCCGAGGCCGGGTCCACGACGGGCGCCGCCGAGGCCAGGTCGTGGAAGAGCGCGGTGCCGTCCTGGTACGCGCGCATCTTGAGGGCGTCGAGCGGCGCGAGGGCGTGCGCCGGCGTCGTGGCGCCCGAGCCGCAGCCGGAGAAGAGCGTGCCGTTGATGCCAATGGCCGACACGCGGTCCGCGCGACCGATGGCGCCGGCCACGGCCTCGTTGGCGTCAATGGCTTCCGCGCCGAGCTGCCACTGCAAGAGCTTGATGCCCGGGCCCGGCCCGGAGAGGTCGGGCGACCGCGCCGAGTAGCCAAAGACGGACAGCAGACGCGGCTTGGTCAGCGGGAGCGTGTTTTTGGTGTTTTTGACGAGTACGTGGCCCTCGACGGCGCCGGCGAGCAGGACGGGCTTGGCGGCGGGATCGCGGGCGTCGACAACGGCGTGCGGCTTGGTGACGTCTTTGGGCATGCCGAACCCTGGGTTGGGAAATGCTTGGTCCTGCTTGAAATGGTACCACGGGGTGAGGATTCTACAGATAGGCAAAGAGATGAGCGCGTGTGTTTTTGCAAGAGGCGAGTTTTGCACCGCGAGAGCATCCATACCTGGTGGCCATGTCGTTGACGCGCGACTCGGGCACGGAGCCGTTCCGGACTGCCTCGACGAGCTTGGCGCCCCAAAAGGAGCCCGTGTCGGGCATGGCCATGTCGAGGCCGGCCAGGGCGCCGGCGTAGCCCGTGTGCTGGGCGCCCCAGTCGGACACGACGAAGCCCTGGAAGCCGAGCTCCGTCTTGAGCAGGCCGTTGAGCGTCTTGCTGTTGGCGCAGCCGTACGAGTTGTTGATGCGCTGGTACGAGCACATGATGTTGCCGGTCCCGGCGTGGACGGCATCTTGAAAGGGCCTGGCGCGGGGAGTCAGGCATAATCAGTTCTTCGTTCATCAAATGCTGTTGTTCGGTCTACCATACCAAAGATACAGCTCGTGCATCGTCTTGTCGTCAATGTTGGAGGATACAGACTGAACATCCCCGCTGGGATTTCTGTTGGTCTCTTGCTCATTTGCAATAAAGTGCTTTGATATGAGACTGGTCAGAAATGGTCATTGACCCTTTACTCAACGCAGGGCCAAGGAACAAAAAGGGGGTTTACCTTTGTGCTGGTAATGACGCCCTGACCTTGAATGCCCATGACGGTCTGCGCAGCCAACGAGCCGGACAGGTACGGATCCGCCGCGAAGCCCTCCCAGTTGCGGCCGCTGAGCGTGACGCGCCACGCCGGCCCAACGACCGGCCCAAGGAGCACGTTGACGCCCTTTTTCTTGAACTCGTCGGCCATGGCCGCGGCTCTGCGGGCCGCCAAGTCCTTGTTCCAGCTATTACCCCCCCCGATATCTGTTGTCAGCGTCCCGAGTGCAAAGGATGAAATGTGTGGCTGAAGAAAGGGACGCGCGACGTACCTGGCTCCGACGTGGATGCCGCTCGGAAAGGAGCTCACAAAGTCCGTGCCGCGCAGCCCCTGGCCGGCATCGCCCAGACACATGCCGGGGAAGCCGAGCCGGGAGACGTTGCCGACGTTGCCGGGGCAGCCATTGTCGACGCTGACGCCGTTTGTGAGCCCGACCTTTTCTTCGAGCGTCATCTGGCCGACGAGGGCCTTTGCTTTGGCGTAGGCGTCGGCCCACGCGCTGCCGGTGGCAGCCATGTCCGCTGTGAAGAGAAGAGTTAGCTTTTCGAATTCCCCTTTGCGGGGGGAAACCATGGGGAGACTTGCGGGAGGGATACACGGGCGGCGATTGGCCGTAAAAGTACGTGTCGTCGGTAATGACATTGCTTGCTGTTGCGGCGGCGGCAGCCATGGCCAGGAGGCCAATGGTGGCCGCGCAAAAGGTGCTGGCGGCGACCATCTTCTCTCTGTCCCTTTCTCTAGCGATTCGATAAAGTCAAGGATACTGCGTGATGAAGAGGTCAATAGGAATGACAATGGGCCATGGGGAGGTTGCAGCTTGGAGGACTGTAAACAAGGAAAAGGTGGCAGCCCGCCATATTATCACACATGTGTTGAACGAGTGCCAGCAAAAGTGGCACACAAGTGCTAGTGCTCTAGGAATATACTAGCGGATAGCCTATTTTATAGTGGCCTAATTAGCAACGTCACCGGTAGTTAAAATGAGGACCTATTGAGTAGTAGCAACGGGCTCAGAGCTATTGCACATTTAGACGAGGCACACACACAGGTGCTGGTGCACTAACTATCTTGCCCTATACCATTCAAACAAAGTCTGGGGTGACTGTGCTCCAGAAAAGCTCCCCTTCCTTGAGCTGCCGATGGAAGATCCATTTTGCGGGGAAGGCTGAGAGATTGGAACCGAGATCAAACACCACACTCTATGCAAGCGTGTTGAAATGGTATCGAGTGGCATAAAATTATCATGTCGGCAGATGCCGTGGCTGAAATTATTAACAAGCCATGAACGCTTCTTCTCCAATCTCCAGTTTCACGGCATATATTTATTTGCCTGGCAATCGAACGTCCCGTTGCGTCGGTTCCCGACTCGCTGCTCATCACAAGCCACCCATTGCTAGCTCTCGGCTCATTTTGCACAAGTTTTACGGCGGTATTTTCTTTGCATTACAAGAATTTCCCTAAAAAAACACATGTGTTGTGGCTCTGCTCATCTGTCTTGCATCATGTTGGCAAGAGTCCTGATACTTGAAAAAGAGGAAAAGGGTAGAAAAGGGGAACGATGGGAACACAGAAAAAGCCCCAAACGATAGCATAAAACAACATGATGCCCACCACCAAAAATATCAACAAAAGAAAACCACATCATGAGTGAATATCGCCCGGACAAGAAACAAAAATAGTAACAAGAAAAATAAGGCTTTGCCTCCCAGCTCATGTGTGTCAAAGCAGTCTGGATTCATCCATCTCTGGGTATAACCACAAATTAAATTCCTCCCGCTTTTAGGGGCTGTTGGCGCAGTGCCCCTCAATCCTGTAAGAGTCGCCTTTCGCTCGCCCTGCGCTCAGTGCGGCGCCGGAAAAAGAAATAGCGACGGGGAATCGAAATCACGCAAGTTTTGGAAAAAAAAAGGAAAAAAGACGTAATGAAGGACGTTGTATGCAAGGCCGTGAAAATACCGTAATCATACATGGGAATCATCCAAGAGAGTACTACACCCCAAGCACCAGTCGGCTGGGACCTGGCAAATGAAAGAGAAGCTATTGCCGACAAAAGGTGAATGACAGCAACAGCGGCGACCCCGCGTATCTGCCTTATAGTATTAACTGCTTCAAGTTGCGCTGTATTATCATGTCCTGCACGGAGCCCATGGTAATCTTGAGCAGGTTGGTGTCGGTGGCGTTGGTGAAGTGGCCGTAAATTTCTTTTTCCGGATTGCGGCTCAGGGCCTTGAACTTGTCGAGAAAATACTTGCTGGCGGCCTTGTAGTCGTCCGCCGGGCCGTGGTAGTCGGTGAAGCCGTATTTGCTAATGGGGCTGCGCGGCAGCTTCTCGCGGAAGAGGTCCATCTTGTTGAGGAAGAGAATCATCGACGACCGCGTGAACCAGTGTGAGTTGGCTATCGATTCCCAGAGCATCAGCGCCTCGTTCATTTGGTTCTGCAGCAACGTGTTAGCCCATGCATTGCGTCCATCGTGGTGCGCAGTGCGACATACTCCGTCCTTATCTTCTACTAGACACTGGTCGTACCCGCTAATTGCGACAAGGAACAGCAGGCAATTGACATTTTCAAAGCAGTGAATCCACTTCTTGCGTTCGGATCTTTGGCCACCGACATCAAACATGCGGTATGTTAGTTGACCGAGGTCAAAGATGGTTTCTGTGATTCCCGTGGTCCGTAGTCGCGAGCGCAGGAGATCCTGGTCGTTGGGAACGTAGCCGTCGGCCCAGAGACGGTCAATGTCTTCGACAAAGCTGATGTAGATGAGTATCGGCGCAGGAGACCAAGTATGTGTGTCATTCGACGAGCTTCACTTACTATGCTAGGTTGTCGTGGAGCGCGTATTCGTTGCCTTTGGCAATGGCCCTTTTCACGCCGCTGTCTTGCCACAAGCTCTTGATAGGTTCAAGATATTCCTGGGGTGGCGTTTCTTCAGGGCTTATTTCGTGATCGATGAGGATGCGGGCCATGTATTTCTGCAGTAATCTGTTAGCTATGTGGTTGACTGCAGCGGTTTACGCATGTGACTATCGGTTGTGCGCGCAAGCTGAACCCATTGCAGCAGATGGCGTCATCCAGCAGCGGGAAAGGTGGACGGGAGCTGATGGAGGTACCTACCTCGTTGTCGGGACTGTCGAATTCATAGTGAAGCTCGGACATGGCTTCGTTGATGGTGCGGAAGGACTGTATAATATTGCTGAAGACGACGGGTTTCCAATCGAGTCGTTCGCTTTTGCTGAAGCCTTGGGAGTAGATGAGCTTCATCTGTTTCAGGATGGTCGATTTGCCCGATTCTCCGGCACCTGCGTGTTACACACAGATTAGTTTGCTGCGAGTCAGAAGCCGGACAAGGATGAGAGAGCCTGGTGATGACTCCACATGGCTGCGCCGTGTGCGACACATCCCGAGGGCGGTGCTGACGGTGCGGGATGAAGCCATGAAAGAAAAAGGAGCCGTAGACACGAGGTCGGGGGGCGGCTTGTGTTGCGTGAGCATCGGACTCACCGAGAAGAAGGAGCTTGACCTCCTTAGCCATACGGCGCTCGTCCTGGCGGAGCATGCGGTCGAGTTCGCGGGAGCGAGCCTCGCCGGTGTCGCTTTTGCGACTGCTGAAGCACATTTCGGAGAGGCGCAGGAAAGAACAGACACGTCCACAGCCGAGGCGGCTACAGCATCTACCGGTAGGATTCGAAGGGGGCGCCAGTTTCGCGGATGGTGCGGGCGAGCTTGGGGAGGATCGAGGGCTGCGGGGTCCGTTGACGAGGACGGCAGTGAAGGACGAGGCCGAGACCAAGGGGTGCTAGAGGGATAGATAGGACGGGATCGAGCGAGAGTGTGCGACGAGGCTGCGCTAATGGAGCAGATGTGGTGCGGGATGACGTTTGCGGGAGGGAGCGACGAGAGCGGCGCGGCGGTTGAGGCTATCGAAGTCGGGGAGTCGGAGAGCTCGAATGAGGAAGAAGAAAGCTCGGACGAGTGGGAGGGAAGCGCGACTCGGGTGATTGTGGTGCGTGACAGGCGAACGGTTGCAGCAGAGTACGGATAGAGATACAGGCCAGGGAGAGCGGGCTGGTTGATGGCAAGGTTTCCTCTGACCGGGGGGCCGCGATGTGTCTTGAACCTTTTTTTGGGCTGCCGCTTTTCTTGGAGGGTGTTTGAGGCCAATGACAGACAACAGGACCATTCGGATTACAGCCAAGAGATGAAAAGAACCGAAATTGGGTCCAGAAGGAAGAAGAGAATAGAAATGAGATATCAGAAAGAGAAAAAGTTGAAGAAAAGAAGAGGGTAACTCGAAAGTGGACGAGGGGAGCTGGGTCAGCCAGCTCTTGCCGATGCCAGGCAAGGTACCTTAATAATTAGGAGTTGGGCAGAATGGCCTGTCTCGTCGAGGTTCAAGGGCCAGCTGCCAGTCTGCTTTCCGTCTAGCGTGGTAATCGTGGGCAGAGGAGCGGGGGGGCGGCCTCGAGCAAAGTAGCATTTGCTACGGAGCGCAATATACAGGGACGAGTGGAGATGGAGGAATAGTTAGCTAGCTACGGATTCGTTGGCTAGAGAAAGTATGTTGAAGAAAATGTACAAGACGTCTTCATTTTCTGGATATATTCGCAGTTGCAATTGGGCAAAGGAACAGGAGCAAGAGGACAGAGCTGGTAGGTACATGGCTGATGGGGGGGCGCTGCCAAACCTTGGACTCTTTCCCGAGGCCCGCCAAAATACACTGTGCCCATACGCTAAATCCCAGGAAAAAGAAAAGAAAAAGAAAGGGACATGAACCTACCATCTTTGTGTGCCGGGTTTTTCTGGGTCTCGGCCGGCTTAACTATAGGTTTACTAGTTGTTCTACTCCGTATATAGACTCGAGACGCGTTATTATAACATCTAGCAGGGGCAGGACGGGAAAGACGACAGTGGGCAGGGGCTAGAGGAATTCTGGTAGCAGTACCAATTACAGGCTGCCCATCGCCTGTAATTTGTAGATTCTTCAGTAATACAAGCAAGCTCAATGCTGTAATCCTGTCAACGAGCAATTCCTGCCGTGTTTGAAACATGATTATGCATTCCTACGAATACACCACCCATCATCATCATGACCAATTTAGCCATCCTTTCAGGTACAATAGTTTGCCACAGATCCTCCATGCAGCCCCCAACTCAAACTGCAGCCCGCCCAAGTCAATGCGTCGGGAGCAACCGTCCAGGCGCCTTTTTTACCTAAAACCTGCCACGGCCGTGCCAGCTCGTGCTCCCCAGCCGCTAATAAGTTAGTAACGCCAAAGCCATCAAAGACGGGACGACGTGCTAGAAAACCCGTCTGAGCATCCTCGGCACCAGACTTTATTGAGTAATCCGGGATACTACCTAATACCTGCCTACCTAGGTATGTCTACCTACCTGGGTAGTGCGCCCATACGAGACCGCCTAGTTACGCCGTCAATGAGGGACTAGGTAATAACCAATGATAAACTTGGCCTTGTGCTGCAACAAACGGACGTCCACTGTACAAAGACTGCCCCTCGCTTCACTGACTGCGCGCTGCATCCATCTTTAATCTCTAGTCTGCACGCAATCTTGGCCTTTTCACCAACTCATTAACTACAACTACCGACACGGACTCCCTCTCCTGCTACGCGCGGCTGCCCCTCCTCATCAGCCCTGCTCGCCTCAAACAGACTCTTACTCCGCACCACCCACTTTGCTTCATACTAATGAATACCATTGCTTATCATAGTCCGGATACACAGCTTGACCCCTCAAAGCAGCCGCTCCCTTTATTATTACGGAGTAACTCTTTGCTTTCCGATTCGCGACCTTGTTCCTGCTCTACCCCCTTTGATACACTATTCGACACTCCACTCCAGCTGTCAATTGTTCCGTGTACAGGCGATGAACAACGCATCATTGACACCACCACCTACAGAGTACATGGCTTTGATGAACTCTGAATACAGCCCGAACACTACAAACATTCGGTATTGTCGGCCCTCCTCATCTCAGCTTCTGTTTGTACAGCTGAGTGCCGACTGCCATCTGAGCACAGCTACTCCAAGGCCTTCTTCAGCCGCCTAGCGAATTATTACAAAGTACCTACTAGTACTGATAGTTAACAATTCTCCACCACCACCATGGCCTGCTTCTCGCTTCTCGCAAGTCCTTGCCTCGCCCGGGCGGCGCTGTTTATATTTACACCACCCTCACGTCCAGCCATTGTCCGCATGCCAGCCAGCGCCTATGTCTCTGAACGCGACGTATTGGTAGCATGGAGCGCCTCCAAGCAATTCAATAACCAACCCCAGATGGGCCTGCATATAAGGGTTGCATGCCACTTGTGATTACGGGCGCCGCCACAGCGCCATGTGTTCATCATATTCATAACTAGGACCGGCCACCGCCCTAGACGTCTTTCTTTAGTTACTGCAGCCCTAATAAGTTATTATTCGACCTTTGGCCAATGCCGCAGAACCTGATGGACGCCCCGCCACGGAAGCCAAGCCCCTGCTACGCGCTGCATGATTTGGCAAGCCACAGCTGAGTCTCAATCCATTTCACTTTTTTGGCAGAAGGGCATCGCTCCAGCCCGCAACTATTTTGCTGACTGTGGGCGGTCCGCTCTCTCCTGACCCGGACATGTTAGGGAAGCGTGCATATCTACTCACTGCCTGCTGCTTCTATAACTATTCGCTACCCGTCTGTCTAGAGGCCATGGCCACAACCCCAGTTTCCTTGTACGTACAGTAGTGACATCTCTCTTCCGCCCCAGACCCGTGGTGGCTTGGAGACTTTTGGTCACGCTAAAACGGCAAGATGTGGTGCCTGTGGATCCAAACCAGCATGGAAACAAGGATAGGGGAGACAACTACATAGATAGGTAGGTACATAACTAGTTAGTTGGCGGCGCATGCAAACATACAGCTAACTAGATGACTACATAGGTAGTTGACTGGTTACTGGCACGGATACAGAAATGCTGCAATGTGAAAGAGGGCGCTGGCCGTGCCCACATCCCCGTCGAGACCACGCGCATAGGAACGACATTGTCTGGTCGATCCAACAGGCCTGAACGCATCTTGGCTGCAAACTGGTCGTTCATCAGTTACGAGTGCACGGCCTTTCGACCCAACTACGCCGTCGTGCATGGCGCCATAACGTACCATCTTTTTGCATGCTATCCGTACTACTGCATAACACTGGTAACCTGTCAGATCTGACAGACCTGCCATGCCATGCCTACGTTGATTCGCGCTACCCCTGAGGCAGCTTTGGTTGAGACCCGGCTGGCTGGCCAATGTTTTGAAAGCCGTCAATTCGTATTCTAAGCCGCCACACCAGCGTCGTCTTTGTTCCTGTTGTGAAACCAGTTGCTGACTGAGGACGATTAGTCTTGACTGTACTGGGAAAAGCTGCCGTGGTTAGCGTTTCCACATCTTCACGCTAACTAGCATGAGGTTCTCGCAAGGGTAAACGTAACAGCGTGAACTAGTTAGGTAGTCGGGAAGGCAGATTGATTTCTCAGCCAAGAGCGGCTGTTCTAGTTTCGGCATGTCACACCAACATGGTTAGGATACGCCTGCTCCCGAGTCCCTCTGAACTTGCCCTGTTCCCATGCAGGGTTTACCTATAACCAATATTGTCTTACCCTCTTCGACGCCTATGCGAGACATTGCGGCAGAAGCTGGGCGACATTCACAGTCTGGGCAGTCCTATTGGACTCCACTTCCCCTGCAGTAGCTGACCATCGATCACTTGCTTGGGAAGAGGTCCGAGTCCGAGTACAAGAGACGTTTTGTTCATATGTAAAATGCTACAAATCACTGATAACTAGATTCAGAGGCCTACATAGAATGGGCATCGCTAGCGACTGCGGCTCAAATCTCAACCACGACAGGGAAGACAATCGCACCGAGGCAGATTGTGGCCGCTAGCTCCCGTCATTATCGACCTTGCCTACTTTGTCCCGAGACATATCTTTTCTTTGAAAGCGCATAGCGACGCTTAGCAACCGCGTCGCCTTGACTGTTGAGCTGCGATTGTAAGAAATCTCTACAGATCCAAGGGCGTGACGGCGAATCTGTACCTGGGTGACTAGTTAGCGAAGCCGGGCTTGGCGCTCCGGTCCGGGCCAAACTGCTCGGGGTGTGCATGATTCCGCGCGGTGAAAGTATAAACATCCTGTAATACGTTGCAAACCGCGTTCTCCACGCGCCCTCCCACGATGCGATCTCATCTGCTCCCACCGATCTGCAGTGCGGATGTTGCAGTAAGGGTTGGATCGGCTACGCAACCCTGATATGTAGATGAAGCTGACTGCAGCAACGATCCCTGCCAAACTCGAAGACAGTCTTGGGTTGTTGACCCGGAGAACAGAGACAGCAGGAGGAAAGATACTTGTTCTCACGTTCTGTTTTCAACTCGCCCGGTTCGTCTTCCGATTGGCCATCGGCATGGCTGCGCGCATGCAGCTACAAGGTCTGCTCTACCAGGCCGCATGGCATCGGGCCACGCATGAATCAAGCGGATATTATCTGCTCTGCTGCAACCGCTTCGAGCACATGGTGAGGAATTGGGCTTGGGGGCCGGACCGTCGGTGCATGGCAGGAGAAGAACGGCAGCTCAAAGGATGCTCCAGCGTATGACCGGAGTACAGGTAGCTCTTGACTTCTGACAAGTCCGGGAAAGAAGACTCCATTGGCATAAATCTCTTGAAATTTCCTGATTTGGGCAATATTCTTCACATCGTTCCGCGGGCTCCCGTGGATTGGGATGTTGCCCCGCCGAATGACGGGCGGTCCCAAATTTTTTTCTTATCCTGCCTGCGACTCAAATTTTCCCCATTCTACCTACCCCGCCAAACCGTCATTGGGCCTCTGTTACAGCACCAGCACGGCTTGCATGAGGAAAACTTTTGCAGCTCGACCTTGGACGCGCCATTTCCCAATTCCTGATCCTTCACCATCACGTCTTCACTCCAATCGTTTACATCTATCTTGGTCCATTTCCGCCTCTATACACACATACAAGATGTCTGAGATTACTCACCCTACCATTAAGGGTACGTTTTGCTGGCTTTGTCTTGAAGCGGCTGCAACCCCGCCATTGCTACCCCTCCTCATTGGGAGAAGCGAGGGGCGCAAAGGTGAAGCTATCGCAGCGCTGCTAAAAAACAAAAACAAAACACATTGAAATAATCGAATTGTTCCTCACTAACGTGCACAGATGGCTGGTTCCGCGAGATCTCCCACATGTGGCCCGGCCAGGCCATGACCCTCAAGGTCGAGAAGGTGCTGCACCACGAAAAGTCCAAGTACCAGGACGTGCTCGTCTTCAAGTCGACCGACTACGGCCATGTCCTCGTCCTCGACAACGTCATCCAGTGCACCGAACGTGACGAGTTCTCCTACCAGGAGATGATTACCCACCTCGCCATGAACTCGCACCCCAACCCCAAGAAGGTGCTCGTCATTGGCGGCGGCGACGGCGGCGTCCTCCGTGAGGTTGTCAAGCACGACTGTGTCGAGGAGGCCATTCTCTGCGACATTGACGAGGTATATCTTCTTATATTCCATATTATGGACCCGATAGCTGACACCCAGTCCCAACCAGGCCGTCCCCCGCGTCTCCAAGCAGTTCCTGCCCGAGATGGCCACTGGCCTCACCCACGCCAAGAGCACCGTCCACATTGGCGACGGCTTCAAGTTCCTCGATGACTACAAGAACACCTTTGATGTCATCATCACCGACTCCTCCGACCCCGACGGCCCCGCCGAGAGCCTCTTCCAGAAGCCCTACTTCCAGCTCCTCCACGACGCCCTCCGCGAGGGCGGTGTCATCACTACCCAAGGTTGTATGTTTTATTTATCTCAGTGGAAAAGGTCGCGGCGCGCGCTCTTGATGATGGACAGGCGAGAAAATGATGAGGTTCCTTTCTCATCTGAGAGCTTTGACTCTCCTCAATGGCTGCTGGCTGGCTGCGTTGCGTTGCCCGGCTTGCTGCTCGTCCCCTGCTCCTAGAGGCGCCCACCTGTGAGCGAGTGCTCAACCTTTCCAGACCCGAATTGCCGCCCGGTAGTGCCGCCGCGACAGTGACCTTGAGTTTTCTTAGAAACTGTTATTTTTGATTATTTACCTCCATTGCTCACGCCGACTGTCGCTAACCCGTCTTGTCTATTACAGCTGAGAACCAGTGGCTTCATCTCGCCCTCATCACCCAGCTTAAGAAGGACTGCAAGGAAATCTTCCCCGTGGTCGAGTACGCCTACACTACCATCCCCACCTACCCCTCGGGACAGATTGGCTTCATGGTCTGCAGCAAGGACGCCTCCCGCGACGTCAAGGTGCCCGTTCGCTCCTGGACCCCAGCCGAGGAGGAGGCCAAGTGCCGCTACTACAACGCCGAGATCCACAAGGCCAGCTTTGTCCTGCCCAACTTTGCCAAGAAGGCCCTACAATAAATGTGGTCTTTTGGTCATGGAGGAAGCGCTGGTGAAAATGAAGTGATGCAATAAAATATATATTCAGAATGATCAGGGCGTTTGGTCCTTGAGTCATGAGACAATAAACCACGATTCAAAATGTACTGTTTTACACTCGTGTATGAAGTCCCTGTAGTCAATTTCCCCCTGTTCAATATGCCTTCTATTTCTAGAAAGCATCGCCTAGCTTTTACTGCTTTCCCTGGGCCACATCCGGATAGACGTCAAACCGTCTCTGCGTGCGCAGCGGGATGTTCCTACGGGCCTCTTCAATCTCATCACTGACCAGCTCGGCGCTGATGACGGCCTCGTGCTCCTGCGCCTCGGCGAGCACCTTTGCCATGGGGCTAACGACCATGGAGTGGCCCCAGGCATGGTAACCGGCGCTCATGTCGCGGGCCGGGCTGCACATGGCGACGTAAATCTGGTTGTCCACGGCGCGGCCGCGCGCCAGCAGCTCCCAGTGCAGCGCGCCGGTCGTGAGGTTGAACGCGCCGGGGTATATGAGCGCGAACGCGCCCCTCCTGGCCGCTATGGTGGCGAGCTCCGGGAAGCGCACGTCGTAGCAAATGGCGACGGCAACGGTGCCGTACCCAGGCAGGGCCACGAGCGTGAGGGCGTCGCCGGCCGTCAGCACCTCGGACTCCTTGAAGGTGATCTTGCCGGGGATGTCAATGTCGAAGAGGTGGACCTTGCGGTGGGCGGCGAGCAGCGCGCCGTCGGGGCCGAAGACGAGGCTCGTGTTGTAGTGGCGGCCCGTGGCCGGGTCGAGCTCGGGGATGGAGCCGCCGACGAGGAAGACGGCGCTGTCGCGGGCCATGGCGGCCAGGGCGTGGAAGGACGGGGCGCGGTCCGGCGCCGGCGGCGACGGCTGCAGCACCTCGGCGTACGTCGGGAAGAAGCCGGTGCCGTACGGCGAGTTGAAGCACTCGGGGAGCACGACAATCTTGGCGCCCGTCGACGCCGCCGCGTGCGCGACCTGCGACGCCGCGTGCGCGAGGTTGGCGGCCTTGTCCGCGCCCGACGCCAGCTGCACGCACGCAATCGTGACGCGCGGCACCTGCAGCACCGGACTAGGCGTGTACGAGGCGGCCATGGCGCGCGCGGCAACGGTGGAAAACGGCGAGCGAGGGACGGCGGCGGCGGGGATTCGTCGGGCGGCGCGGTACGAGCAAATTAGGCCGGGCTTGGGGGAGGACGCGAGGCAGCGCAGGACCAGTTTGCTCATGCTCAGACTCTCTAGTCGTGGGAGGGAAAGAGAGAGAGAGAGGTGTTTGGTTGGAAAACGGCGGGGGTGAGAGGAGCAAGCGTTGGGTGGAGAGGGGTTTCTCCAATTCTTTTTTCTTTGGCGCCGGCCGTGGCTCGGAGGAAAGTGGGGGGGCGTCGGGGGCGGCCGGTCAGCCGTGGGGGTCCGTATTGGTAAAGAGGTAACGAGTTTCTCCATTGACCGTTCTTCCATGTAGTTTGTCTACCTAGTTGGGCATATTCGCGTTTAGGGGGTGCGTGCGCGTCGCTAAAGAGGCCTCGATGACGAACTCGGCAAGTTGTAAGTGAGGAACCCTTTTGCGGGACATTGCATTGCCAACAAAGACAACGGGGGGGGGGGGCAGCGAGGTACGATTTCAAAGCACGGCATCGACCCCCGGGACCCGGCGGCGGCGGCCAAGATGCACACGCTGCCGGCGGGCAAAGGGTTCCTTGACCGGGAGGTCCGTCCTTTTGTATAAGCCAGGACAGAAAAGCGTTGCCCATTGGGTTCGTTCGGTACGAATGAGTCGGACAGAGCGGCCCTAGCAATATAGCAAGAGGCAGCCAGTGCGGAGCGCCAAGACAACCCGACCAACCCGTTTCTCTTCCGAAATGTGCCTATTGCGACTGCACGCATAATTCGCACGTCGCGGTTGGGACGATGAGGCAATGCCGCCAAGCAAAACGGTGGTGGATTCGGGGTTACGGAGCGTCCCGAAGGCCTGATACCACCACGGCCCGGCACGAGAAAGTGTTTCTCCGTGATGATATGCCAGTCCCGTGTCTCTTTGATGGGGCATCATTCGGCAGTTCCCCCTTTGTTCCTCTGTCATGCTCGATATCCTCCAGTTGAATGATGGACAATGCCGTTTGGCGCAAAAACTGCCGACGTCTTGCGCAAGCCCGATCTCGCAGTAAACCCACCCTGGCAGGGAATTTTTCTGCCAGCGCACAGATGTGTGGAAAACACCTCTCGTCCGCCCTAGGTTTCATAGGGCTGTTCCAAGCTTTGTTGGGGGAGGGCCGGAAAGCGACCGCCGGTGCAAAAGCGGATGGAAAATGTCCGGCTCATGCAAGGAGACAAGGGGTTTTTTTTTTTCTTGTTCGTCATGAGGCGGTCTTGTTCGCAGAAAGGGGACCGGCAACTGCTTCTCAAGCTACTTTCTCGTCCATCAGTAGAACAGCCATGGCGTATGTAGGAAGCATAGGCATGAAGAAGAGCTCAGCTCACTTGTTGGAGAAATTTTGTGCGGTTTCAATGCCCTGCGGGCAGGGCTGTATTTTCAGTCCATCACCTTTGTTTTTGTTTTTTTGCTTTTCGACAAATGTCACATCTGGAGCAAAGTGGCGAGGCCGAGGTGTCAAGATGGGGGGGTTCCGTGTCGCCGTTGTGTGTCGTGGCCCCTTGTAGTTACGAAGCCCGAGCCGACTGCGGGAGTGCCGACCCCCGCTTCCCTCCCGCGACCGCAAGCACGACAAAAAAAGAGGTTTCACAACTCACGTCGACCCGCGTATTCTTAGTTGCTATCGCAAGGTCTTGGCGTTGACAGAGTGGTAGCCAGGGGAGGGGGGGGGGAAGCTGGCGCTTGGACGCCTTCACACACAACGCCGCAAACCCTCAATCTGAAACACCCAGCAACCCATTCTTGCGCCTGATCTTCCTTGGCCTCTGGGGTATTTTTGTATTTAAGCTTTGGATAAATGTGGAAGGGGTCATTTTTGTATTGTCAAGTTTCCGCCCAGTTGTCTGCACCAGCCGTGGCGCCATGATGCGATGGCGTGCATATCCGCCAGATGCTAAAGCTGTTGCCGCCAATAAGAGCCCTGCCCGTCATTGTCCCGATCCCGTCAGATGACCACGCCATCATATAAGCATGAGCTGGCTTCTCGCTGGAGAAGAAAAGGCGACGTGCCTCGCACTAATAATGACACCTTGTTGGCGGAAACCTTGTTTGGCGGCGGCGGAACCCGCCGTGGAGAGGCAGGAACAGTTTCAGAGGGGTGCGGCCACAACTTCTCCAGTAAAGAATAAACTTTCTGGTACTTCGGCCTGAATCTTACTGCTACTACACGTGTCTATGATAACGTCTGACAATGTTCGGAGCAAGCGACTTACGGCTGGCCGATCATGTGTCGTGCTCCGGCAGTCCTTGCCGTCCGAATTACCTTGCGACACTTCTTGGTCCAATGTCCGAGTTTTTTTTTCCTTTTCAAGAGTATAAGTCAGAGTCATTCCCCGACCTGTCAATTCCATTCCCATCAGTTCCGTCCATTTCCGCACTGCCGGCCTTGAACCCTTTCTTACCACTGCGTCGTTTCCTGTGCCTTGCATTTTTTGCTTTAACAACAGGCATAGCTTCCGGATACCCCGTACATAATTACTGCAGCGTCATGTCGTCACTCCATGAGGAATACCACGTCGGAATGCTCCTGGGCTACAGTCCGGTCCCCTGCATCATGTGCAATATAAGAAGGTATGTGTCCCCCCCCGCCCTTGTCGCCGAGAACTTCTGATGACCTGTATCTGTGCTACCAGTGCTCTCGACTGCAGCTACTGCGGTGGTTCCATGGTTCGCATGGTACCGCCGGGCTATACGAGCGAGCAGGCCGTACGCCTGCCTCGATTACGATACGCGGATCTGCCGGCGTCGGCGTCCCGCCCACAGGAACCGGTCGGGAGCTCGTCCGGCGCGCGCAGGGGATCCGGGCAGCAAGGCGCGGGAGGGCAGTCGAGATCAGGCTCTGAGTCATAGACTCATAACTCGTGGCCTTGGGGAGGAGATGAATAACGAACTACAAACGAAACCATACAAACTCTGCCAACGCATAGTATCCAGGACAGGCTGCCGCCCCTGATGGGAGAAGCGCACCAAAGGGAGCCATCTCTCGATGAGATGCTGGGACACGACTAATGTATACGAACAGTACTATTGATAATTTCTTTATTTTTATTTTAGCGAAATAAATACCCTTCTGAATTTGAACATCTTGTCGCGAGGCACAGCTACCTTGCTTGGTGAGGACCAAGACAAGACTCATAATTGACCGCAAGAGCATAAAGAGCGTTGAAGTAGATGTATTCCAAGTTTTGCGTAAATATTCATCTGACAATGATCAATTTCACTTTCTGGCTGGACAACGCGCTTCTCAAGGTGCCGTCATGCTAGGCTCCACACCAGGTCCAAGGTACCCCTCCCTACCCAAAAGAAACCGTCAATGCTTGAGCTTCGCCGTCGCAAACGCTGCCATCACACAACATCACCTCGACAGCTCTGCATCTCGCGTCCGCCCTCGAGATTACGCCCTGCCTCCTGCTTCCTGCCGCGAGCCCATCCCAATCGCAAGCCAAGCGTCTCCCAAGCTGCCGGGATCGCTGTACCGCTCGCAATGTCGGTGATTCTCTGCACAGGTTCGTTTGCGCGGGCGCTTTCCTACCCTCTTTTCGTCCTCGCCCCAGCTGACACTTGGCCATGTGCTCCCAGCCGGTTACGACCACACAATCAGGCAAGCCTTCCCTCCCTTCCACCCCCCGCGCGACGATCCATCTCCCCCTTCCCCGCATTGTCTCCCATTTGCGACGACTAACCCGGCTCCCGCGTCGGCAGATTCTGGGAAGCCCTCTCGGGCATTTGCTCCCGCACAATCCAGCACCAGGACTCGCAGGTCAACCGCCTGTGCATCTCGCCCGACAAGCGGTACCTCGCGGCCGCCGGAAACCAGGTCGTCAAGCTCTACGACATCAAGTCGACCAACCCGAGCCCCGTGCTGACCTTTGAGGGCCACACGGGCAACATCACTGGCGTCGCCTTCCACTGCGAGGGCAAGTGGATGGTGACGAGCTCTGAAGACGGCACCGTCAAAATTTGGGAGACACGGACCGGCACCATTCAGCGCAGCTACAGTCACGGCTGCCCCGTCAACGACGTCGTGATCCATCCGAACCAGGGCGAGATTATCAGCTGCGACCGCTCCGGCTACGTCCGCGTCTGGGACCTGGCGGAGAATACATGCGCGCACGAGCTTACGCCCGAGCCCGACGTCTCCGTGTCGAGCGTCACGGTGGCGAGCGACGGCACGCTGCTCTGCGCTGCCAACAACAGCGTAAGGACTTTGGGGCGCATTTGCGGTGCATGACCATGATTTGTGAGTGTCTTGCTAAATACTATCCTAGGGCAACGTCTTTATCTGGAAGATTGAGCAAGAGTACAATGGTACCCGCATGGTGCCCGTGACGCAGTTTTCCGCGCACAAGGAGTACATTACCCGCGTCCTCCTCTCACCCGACGTCAAGAAGCTGGCCACGTGCAGCGCCGACCACACGGCCAAGATTTGGGAAATCAAGGACAGCCCGTCCAAGCCGGGTGAGCAGCCCAAGGCGCTACCCCTCGAGGCGACGCTCACGGGGCACCAGCGCTGGGTCTGGGACTGCGCGTTTAGCGCCGACTCGGCGTATCTCGTCACAGCATGTTCCGATCACTATGCGCGTCTCTGGGAGCTGCACAGCCAGCAGATTATCCGGCAGTACAACGGACATCACAGGGGCGCCGTGTGCGTGGCCTTGAATGACTACTCGGAAACACGCTAGAAGTAGACGGTCTGTCTGTTTTGTTTTGATTTTGCATGTTTTTCTACTGGTGCATGATGTTTTGCATGGCGTCTTCCTGGGTACATACCGGCTAGGTGATTTTTCTTCAATTTGTATGCTTGTTGTATTTCGGATATGGGCACACCTTATATACCATTGGGCTATCATATACAGTGGACAGCTATCCCAATTGGCCACGTTCAACCTTTCCGTCTCCAGTCTTTTTGTCTCGAAGAGGCAGCTACTAGCAGCCAAACATCCGTGAACATCTGGCGACATAACCTGGGCCGGCTTTGATGAGAGCGTACCACTGAGGATTGCTGTCAGAGGCTGTCAGGGGCTGTCACAATGACGTCTGGCAACGAAGAAGCACGATTGGGAAATTCGAAAGGAGGGGTTGATTGAGACTCGAACAAGAGAGGCTGATTGACATCGATGATTCTTGGTGTGACGAGAAGGCTTCAACCAACCAAGACCCCAGTTTCTCCCGTTCTTTGGGCAGATTCCCGCTCCCAGTGGATCCGGCAAAGGACAGCCGACGGGCTGACTCTCAGCTGGACCAGGATGTTGCGAGAAAAAGAACGGGGGGTTTATTCTCTCTCTCTCTCTCTCTCTCTCTCTCGTCTCTCGGTCTCTCTCTGGCGGATACGATTCCTACTCTCACTAGAACACGGTAACTAGACACGCAGCTCGCAAACGGGTCTCGCGTCTAACACAGGGCTGACAGGTTCAGGCAGGGAACCAATGAAAATGCGTTGAGTTGAATGTCTTGCCGTATCATTATACCGTGTCTCTTTTCTACGTCAAAGCCTCGCCCTAGACTTGACCCTGCCTGGCTCCGCCGCGGGTAAGGCGGCAGGGGGGGAGGGTGCGATGGCAGCAAAAGATTCACAGCCCCGGCATCGTTTTGTCCAGACGGGTCGTTCAATAGGGGGCTAAGTTGTCCCGTGCTGGATCGTGCGCTAGAGCAAAGCAATCGTGCCCCATTAGTGAGCCGTTGCCAGAACGTCTGGAGAGGGGGGGTCTTGGTAGCACGGGTGAATCGGTAAGAGTGCCCCATCATTGGGGGCTTTTTTTCCTTGCTATTACATTTCGTTTTATAGTATTACAACGAATCCGTATTTTGTACATCGAACCCCATCAGCTGGTCCAGGATCTTGGGAAACCTATGCCGCTAAGTTGACGGTGGGGGGAGCCATGGACCAGGGACGACGGGACGAGGAATATATTGATGAGTGATTGGCGGCGTTAAGATTTAAAAAAAAAAACGGCCCGACAACAGACTCAGACTACATACTTGGTTACAATATTCTCTTTGGAAAGTCGGCCAACACGGCAAGCACAGAGAACAAGCAACAAGACCGCCATAGAGAGTCGAAACTATATTGCCATTTTGCTACAACACTGATACCTTTTTTCTGCATTCTGAAAAAGGTCCGCCGAGGAGTTGTGAAAGCCGATATTGACAACGCCGTTGCAGAGTCTCTGAACCAGGACCCCCTTCCCCCCCCCCCCCGGCCTGTCAAACTCGTCCCAACGGCCGCTTGCTCAGCCTCGCGCGCACCGCCTTTTCGGAGTTTGTCTCCTCACTCCTTCGCAGTTAACGTTACTGATGACCAGCTGCATGCCCCCCTCGAGAAACTTCAGCTCCATGTCCGCGGCCCCCTTCCCCCCGGCAAGTACCACAAAAAAAGATTTTTGCTCCGCGTAGCCCAGATCTTGGCCCCCCCCCCCTCCTTTCCCCTTGTCCTCGACCAAGTTGCTCACCCCTTGTCACAAGTTCAACGAGAAGGGTCAAACTAGTTACAGGATCGAACACTTCCAAATCTGGCAATTCAACTTTCTACTAATTCGTAACTACTACTTACCACCAGAGTCCTTTGCACCTGCACCAGGCGGGCCCTTGTCAAGACAGCCACAATGTCTGTTTCGCTCTTTTTACTTGTACGGCCGACCGGCGGACAAGTTCATGCGGCAAGGACCGCTCCGCGCTGTGGCTTGCATAGGTTGGACTTATTAGTTAGCCAACTAGTCAGTTGAACTACCGCCTTCCCGTCATGGCTCGTGTACTATTATCTAGAGAGAAAGCCAGTATGGATTCAAACTTCTTCTTGGCGGGAAACAGAAAAAAAAAAAAAAAAACGCAGGCGGAGTCGGCGTGGGCGCTGTGCATGATGAGAACCTTGGCATCTACTATGCAATGCAGAACAGTTATGGTGTGGATGCTGCCCAACCAAGATTTCGCTGCAGAGATTTCTTTTCCAGATATAGTAAGAAGGGCCAATATCACAAAAAAAGTCGCAGAGTGGGGTTTTCCAGCCGCCAAAAGGTCTCCCCTTCAGCCTCAGTACACAGACGCATGAGGCACTGTTGTTGACCGAGAAAGGTCGTCTTACAACGAGGTGGTTTTTTTTTTTTTTCGCCAAATGCCGGCATCGCGCTCCGGAGGGATACAAGCCCTATGCGGCCGGCCTTGGGGGATTCCAGCCGCAATGTAGGGTTTGGCTGCTAGACAGCGGATGGCGCCGCTGGAAGGCTTGGCCGTTGTTCTGTTGACGAGCCCAATGGTGGTCTTATTGTCCATCCCGTCTCGTTCCAGTGAGGCCCACTGCCGCATTTTCTCAAGATTGTCATGACTGGGTACGGAGTACAAGTTAACAAGTTGCGGTTCATCATGGTTTGCATTGTGTGAGAACATGTATCAAGACACCCTGGGCAAAAGGGAAAAAAAGAAAAGTGTGAGAAGTAGTAGACTCGGTGCGGGGATAAGATGGTTTAGTTGCGAGTTTTGTTATTTTATTTTATTATTTTATTAGATTAGTGTAGTACTGGAGGCGATTCACCGTTGAAATCCAGCCTCGCCGGTACTTGTTCAACGCTGTCTGGCACCGCTATTGGACAGGGCGATGGCTGGGCGAGGCGAAATTAGGACGGGGGGAGGGAACCCGGGGTTCGTACTAAGACGGCAAGGAACCAGGATGGTATAGCAGACTGGCTGAGACACTGAGACACTGAGACAGCGGCGGATATTTGGCCAAAAGGAAAAAAAAGCTAATTTGTATAATTGCCAGTACTCGGTTATTCGTACTCTGTGGGGTTGGGCTTTCTTGGCTGGGGCTGCTTGATGATGGATAGGGACCTAGGAACCTATCAACCTATCAAGCCTTTCAAGCGGGCGTAGTCTTGTCTTTGGACGGCAGTTGGTCTCTTTTTCGGCCGAAAAACGGGGGAGGGGGGGCGCCATGGATCTTGCGAGGCTACAGCGCTGCTCGCCGATACCCTATGTACGTTGTTTGTAATAGGGCCGGGTCGGCAACTGAGAGGGAGTCATCGATAACCGCCGATCGCCGATACAGTACAGAACGTCAGTATTACAGTATTATTCTTCGTCATGGCCACGGCGGGCATGCCGACCGAGCAACGCACAAAGTTGGCCTAGTTATCGACGCAAGCCACATGGAGCGAGGCGGGCGCTGCAAGATGGTCGTCTAATTCTTACGGGGATGACAGATTACACGAGCATGAATTCTACCCGGCGCCCAGCCAAAATCCACCACAAAGGGTCTTTCTTGTTCTCAAAGTCTTGGGGACCGTGAAGGAGCCGTCGACGGAACAAGCATACCGATAACTACCTACGAGAGCGCCATGGTTTGGTTGAACGCCTTAACAGGGACTTGCTGAGAGCCCACTTGGCGAGCGGGAACACTGCAGGATCGGAAAATCTCCTTTTTTTAGCCTTGGCCGTCCTGTGTCCTCCGATTGGTATCTTGCTCTGGCGACAGAGTACCCCTGTGCATGACCCGTGAGACTTTGGTACCGCGCGCCGCCCTTGCCCAGCTGGCTCCAGGATCCTCCCAGCTGTATCCGCCTCTCTGGGTTCCGATCTTTACAGCGCTGCGACTGGCTGGGGCAGGGCTTATTACGAATAGTTCCGACCTCTGTACCGCTGCTACTGGCTGGGGCAGAGCTTATTACGATGAGCGCCGTTACAGGGCTGCAATGCTGGACTCCAAGTTGACTTGCTTGGTCATCCCCTTGGCAGTTGAACGCCTGACCCAATGAATGTAGAAGCGCACATTGCCCGAGTACAGTACCGTATTTTTGTTCATGTGGCTCTTTGGCGCGAGAAAAGGTGGCTCCTGTCCAACGTTTCCTTCTTCTCGTATGTACCTACGGAATTATTTGCTGCTATTAAATGAACAAAAAAACACACCCAACTTCTTATGCAAACCTGCCACGTTTTGGCGGCGTCTTTCGGCGCTGCCGGGCCACCCACGCCCGGAAAAGCAGACAGAGTGGGAGATGGAACGTGCCGCAAAGACCATCTCGGGAATAAAGCCTGACGTAGACGACGGAACCATACCTAGGTACTCCGTAGACGCAGACTCTCTCGCTGCAAGGTACCAGAAGAAGCGAGGGGGCTGTGATGACGACGGAGGACCCGACGACAGCGCGCCGCATGCCGGTGGAGCTGCTGTCGCCGGCACAGCGAGCCACAGTCCTCGTCTATGGGACATGGTGTTTTGATCAGTGGATCGGGAGTCGCTGCTGATGCCGACTAACATGAAAGAGTAGGCCCGGAATCATCCCAGTCTTGGTACAGAGTACTCCGTACAAAAGCACCAATGGAGAGGGTCAACAACCGTGGAACAAGACAGCTAGGGGCGTGTAGCCGCAGCATGGGAAGGAGCGAAGGAACCACCCCTCCTCCATCCCCTCTCTTCCTCCAGCTAGCTTTCTCAGCATCGGTATTCATCAACTGTTTCTTTTCCATATCCCTACAATGCCTGAAGAAACGTCATTCCGTCTCTCGCCAATCACAGACTACAGAATGCATATGCGCCTCCCCCCTCCTCCTCCAGCCCGTCCAGGCGTATACACCCCCCCCCCTCCAAATCTTAGCCACACAAGCCTTATTGTCTTGCATCAAACACCCACACACCCGGTTCTGGCCCTTTGGCAGCGAGCGGAGCAAAGAAGCAGGGTCTTTGCTAAAAAAAAAAATGTCCAGCTCTTTATCAAGGTCGACGCGCCGCTTTGGCTCATCTCGTCCCTGTCATTGCTCCAAAATCTCTCGTTGCACTTTCCAATTGACCAACTTGACTGGCTCGCATCGCACCTGATCTTGTCTCAGCCTCAACCCAGTGCATAGCTGGACAAGTCTCCTTCGACTCGTCTCCCACCTGCCCGTCCACGTCTGCTGCCGGGGGCCGAATGATGCTCGACATCCCTTTGGGAGTATCTGGTGTTCGATTCACTTGTCAAGTATAATAGGACCTTTTCGTCCTTTGGTCCTCTTCTGTTTGCTTTCCGTCTTTCATCACTACACCATCCCCAATACTTTCCATGAATAGCCATCAGGCCTTTGTCTCTACTGGCTTGGCTGGCGTGAATTGGTCCAGCTTGATCAGTCTGAATGACGCCTGCTTCGAAATGGGAGACTGTAAGTCACACCTCTGCGCTGCACACCAATCGGTCAACTTTCAACTCGTGCATATACTAACATTAGCAGTAAACGAATACCGCATCCAGCGAGTCGCCGAGGTTCTGTCCGACTTTCGCGATCTCCAGCACTGCATCGCCGCCGCCAACATCACTGCACCCTGCCAGGCCGATTATTACACAGCGGCATGGACCCTGTTGCGCCAATGCTCCACAGACGGCCAATTTATCCTGGATTGCGCTGCCGATGTATCCTACCCGGTGGGTCGAAATGAGCACGAGCAGAAGAAGCTTGAGCTTCAACAGTACGTTTACACCTGCTTGCCAAGGCCTGCCCACGCCTCAAACTGCGCTGACTAGTCGTCTTCTCGTATAGTGTCTTGTTGGATGCCTATGCTCGCCGACACGAGGCCCAAAAGATTTACATGCGCCAATTGGCAGCCCAGCGATGTATAAGTGCCCGCAAGCAAGTTCTCGAGGCAACAGGTGGCCCCCATCCCTCAAACCACCTCCGTCTTCAAGCTTGTAATATTCAACTAGAGCAGGTACGCGACCCCTCCCTCGTCATGTAGTGGGGTAGACAAGAGTCAAACCATCTGCATCATCAAGTGCCACATACGTCAGAAACGCTAACCGCGCCCAGGAAGTCGAGCAGATCACAGACGAGTTTGTCTACCTGGACATGTTGAGCGGTGACCAGAGCCTTGGCCGCTGGACGGTCGAGGATCCCGGCCTCTACGACATTCTCAACTGGTTGAGTACCCGCTCGTAAATTGCCGGAACCTCCGGGCCCCCAAATAGGGGGGGATCCACGAAGGCGTACCCGATGCCATCGCACATTCGCGACAAATCGCAGCATCAAGGACGGCTATCGCACTAGAGAGAACCGGGACGAATCACGCATGCAAAACGGCCAGGACCCGGATGTTTCAACTTTCCTCGGCCGCTAGGGATACACTAGAAACTGAGACTTTGCCTGCTTTTATGCCTCGTCGAGGGTGGGGGAAAGGGCCAGTTTAGGCAAGGCGAGACGGGAGATGCGAGGGAGGGGGGTGGTTGAGGCTAAGCCGTTGAGGCGCGCTAGCAACTGGTTTTTTTCTCCCCCAAGGGCACTCTTTCCCTGAGGAAACATGCGCTCGGGAATGTGTTACTAATGTGGTTTCTGAAAATTTCCGCTGGTTTCTCGGATACGGGCACATCTGCGCCGTGAGCGAGAGCCGCGCTCAACAAGTGCTTCTCGCGGCGGGCCGCGAGAAGCAGAGGCGTATCAAGCCCACACCGAAACACGGCTGTCAATGTGACCGAGAGGGGCCGGTCATGCGATGGAGAAGGGCTTGTGTTGTCAAAAAAACGAACGTGCTGGAATAGAATGTCAGCTGTCGAAAAGGATATTGACTGTCTGAACTGCATAGCCAGGAGTCACGGATTGGTTTTTTTTTCATACTAGGTTGCATTATACTATTATTTCTTTTATGTAGCATAGACTGATGGTCAAGGATTTGTACAAATACAAGTTGACATTGCTCCAGCTGTCAAGATGAGATTGCCCAGCTGTCAAGATGGAATTGCCCAGCTGTAAAGATGAGATTGCTCAGCTGTCAAGGCCGGATTGCCCAGCTGTCAAGATCAACTATGTCTTGCTGTATACACAAAGTGCAATGCCAACTAAAGAAAGGAGCATTCCGGCACCAGTATCTATGTACATGACCAGTTAGTGAGGATCCATTATCAAAAAAGGAAACTAGCAAAGATGCCCCGAGCACATGAGGCTAGAGAGGGATCGTAGCGGCACAAAACCTGAACTTGTAGTCTTACCTCGACTAATGACCTTGCCCTCGACCAACCATTCACCAAGAACGGTAAATAGGAATGCCAGGGTGTTTACAATAGGCACTGTAAGACTAAGCTCTAAAGTGATTGGTGAGTTTGTGTTGGCATAGTCGAACGTTTTCAAAGGAAGAACGAAAAAAGAAAAAAAGAAAGAAAAGAAAAACGTACCAGCTTGCCCAATCAGCAAAAAGAACCACACACTTCCCGTCAGGTTGATCAGCAGCGGCACCGCGTACCGTGGATTCCGCAGCAAATCGACGACGGCGAACAGGGCGGCGTACAGGCTGCGACGCAGCCCGGCGGCGGTCTCGTCGAGGATCGGGTGCGGCGGCGGCTTGTGCGACTGGGCCGCCCGGCGAATAAAGGGCGTGGTGCCGCCCCACGCGATGCCCACGAGCAGGAAGCTGAGCACGTAGTTGAGAATGGGTGGCTGCTGGTGCTGGTCTGGCGCATCCATGATGACGTATGGTATGCTGCCGCCCCCGGAAAACTTGGGAAACGAAAAGGGTATATTTAGAAAGATGGGATTCCTTGGATACGCAATGTCCAGGGGGGGGATGCGAGATTGGGGGCCCTTTTTGCAGTTGAGGCTTTCGGAGATGAGCTTCTGGGTTCCTGGATAGAGGGAGGGGAGGCCGTTGTCAATTTTTCAAAGGGGGGGAGATGTGGACGTGATCGTGTGTACCCGAGATCGGACCCTCTGGAAGAAAGTGTGTGGCACACCAAAAGCAAGCCTCTCTCTCTCTCGCTCACACACACACACACGCGTCCTCCAATTGTCACGATGAAGCAGGCGGGAAAGGGGGGGGGGGCGGTCGAGCTATTGTCCGTGGAGGGGGAGGGATGGCAATTGTTCCGGGGGTGGTGGTCAATGAATTTCGGCCGAGCGGGACGGACAATTAGAAACCAAGAATGCAAGGTAACCTGTTTACCAACGTAGACAAAGACCATCAACAGCGTTATGCAAGAAAAGACGATTTGGATGACAAGAGACCCGCTTTTCTTCTCGTGACGGAAGCGGTTTAGGCGGCTTGGCCCAAAGGGGAAGAAAGCGGGGGTTCAGGCAGCCTCTTGACATCTTGGGCGGGCCAATCATACTGAGCGCGGCGCTTGTGTGTTGCCCAGAGAAAAATAAAAAGCTGGGAAATTGGGGGTAATTTTGTTTTGCAAGAGATAAATTCCCATCAGATATGTTGGTTAGGGGGGGAAAGCACGGCTTTTTGTGCAATGTCACTGTTGCACGGCTCCAGCGCCGCATCGTAAAGGGTGCAACACCAGCCTGCGTGTGGGACAAGGTGTGCAACGAAGAGGACGTGAGTGGCTTGAGGGAGGCTCCTCTACGAGAAACTTGCGAGTTTTGTGCCTTTGTTCTGCTTGTGGTGTTGTGCAATCGGTTTCTCGCCGGTAGTCCCAACTAACACGTGCCACCGAATCATGTTACACAACATGTGCGCTTAATACGAGTACACGACGGCGGCCTGATCTCAAATAACCAATCGTGATTCCTCCCTCAACCTTGTTTTTTTTTTTTCTTCTTCCCCCCCCTGCACGAGTCACGAGCGCCCAACATCGAGGGTCTTTGATAAAAAAAAAACCAAGAGATTTCGACCGTTTGCGGCCCGGCGCTCATTTTACGCAAACCGCTCGGACAGGTTGTCCCCGCAAACGGGGAGGGGGCGCCGCCCCTCATTTTGTGCCATGAGATCGGGATAAAAGCTTCAACGGTTGGCCATTGGCCTGTGGCGGCGACCCTGCATTTATGAGATCAAGGAAAACCCAGTGTCTGCACCGGGACCCGCCATCGGCTTAATTTCCGCAAATTTCGGCACGAAATCTCGGTAGATCGTTGCATATTACTGGGTAGGCTACACCCTGTTTTTTTTTTTCTCGCCAGGGGAGGGGTTTTTTTGCTGTTATGAAAGACCAAAAACTTTTGTAGGGATGCGACAAGAACAGAGTCGTCGGGAACGTGGGAAGGTCTTCTTGAGAGAAACAAGAGAAAACACTACGTGGGTGCCACCGTTTTCCAACTAGCTACATCATCTTTTTCGATTTCCATGCCGGACACTATCCGCAGGGTCCAAGCGGATAGCAAGGCGCCGGTTTCCGCCAACATGCAAGGGTACATACCAGAAATAACCGGTTTTGCGACAAATCGTGGAGCTACCGTCGTGGGGGGCCGCCTCTATTCGTACCGGGAGCCTGGTATCTGGAAGATGCAGAGTACTATATAGAATGGTTAACGTTCCCTTCGTTCCTGCATGAACTGAAACTGAAAAGATGCTGCATTCTAGCGGGTACGGATTTCAACGAGTCTACCGACTAGACAACCCTTGGTCACAGACGCCTTTCCGTTCGCTCTTGGCACATGGACATCTTCTCTCCGAGGTCCATGGAACATATGTCAGTGACATCCAAGTCGCCACAATGCGACAGGATAACCTGAGACTGCTCAAGCCCCGAGTGTAACTAGCATCACGGATCCAGAGCCTACTAGTGGTGGTCGTAGTCGTCTGCCGCCCTCGCCATGTTCCCAACCGTCTCGCTCCTTCCACTGCCTCTTCCCTCCTCAGCATCATCCTCGGCATCACTCGGGCTTTTCCAGCCACTCGCGCAGCTTCTTGAGCGAGTACGTGTCGTGCTTGGCCTGGGACGTGAAAAAAAGCTCCTCGTACCATCCGGGCGAGCCCAGCGACTGCAGACGGGCCCCGAATGGCTGGCAGGACCCAAAGTCGATCAAGACAGGCATGCCGTCCCGGACCATGATGTTGCCTGGATTGATGTCGTTGTGCGCCAGTCCCAGCGAGTGGAGGTGTGCCACGGCCGACTCGAGCGCCTCGACAAACTTGATCTTGTCGAGCTGCGCAAAGCTGGCTCCGTGGATGTATTGCATCAGCGTCTGGTCCAGGCGCTCCAGGAAGAGGGAGGTCGCACGCGGCAGCCCAGGTAGCCGATGATGTGGGGATGGGGCGTCTTGGAGATTTGCTCCATGATGGTGGTCTCCTCGAGAAGTCCCTTGGGGACGAAATCAGACCCCTTCATAGTCTCGTAGCAGTTTAGACCGGGCCGCTTGACAAAGGCAGAGACGTCATCCAAGTCGTTGGGCGCGATTGTCAGCGCGATGTCCTGGGGAACCTCGGGGTAAATTTCGCTGTCGGGGACATGCTCCAGTGCGGCATTGTACTCTGCCAGAGTAATCCCCTTCTTACTCTTGAACAGCTGGCCAAAGTACAGCTCGTCCTCCGACGTAACTTGGTAGAAGGTGACGTACTTCGCCTCCGTGGCCCCCTGATCGAATGCCTCGATAATGGTTAGATCCCGCAGGGATAGCACCGGTGGTTTCTTTTCGAAACTTTCGACCGTGCCAGATGCAACCATGATTAGACGTGGGGGAGGCAGCGACTCCAATCTAGAAGAGGGGGATGTGTACGTGTTTTTAGGTACCAGGTTGTTGGGACAGGCGGTAACCAACAAATAAAAAGATCTTGCTCGCCTAGGCCGGGCAGGGATCAAAAGTTTAGCTCGCGAAGGGTCGCGCGTAGGCTCATAACCACTTGAGGAACAAGTGGAGGGAAGAATAATTAGATAGGTGAAGAATCTAAGCTATGAGGGGGGAGAGGCTCCTCTATGTAGGTGGCTTCTTGACCGTGTGCTTCAAAGAGACAGGGCCTGTGCAGTGATTGTCTGTACCAGGCTGTGGTGAGGGAAGGGAGAGCCTGAGTTATATCGTTTTTAGGGCTGAAATATTTAATCCATTAGCGAATAAAAACCGAATTGTGGCCAGAATTATGCTAATAATCTCTATAAATAGTTTCTTTCTTTATATTTATAAAATATAGTGTTTTTAAAGCGTTATATTTACTATTACAAAAATCTTATTAAATGTTCAAAGTTACTTAAAAACTAAGAATTAATGTAGTAAGTTTTTAGTCTAATTATAATATATATACATATTTTATAATTTTACGCTAATAAGCTATGAATAAACTGACTTAAATAACCTTTCTATAACGGCATAACGCTCATTTCTAGGTTTTATGCTGTGCTGGAGCTATCTGGCAATAACATCCATTGGAGTTACCAGCTCCAGTAGCGGCCAATCTACACCAACAATGTCAATTTACATGACAACATCCCCAACCCGGTACAGGATATGTTCTATCGAATTCGATGTTATATGTTAGTTTCGTTGGTATTTTATTACACAGGCTCTATGGGCTAGTACAACAAGATCGAGGGTCCGACATGAGACGACTAATTTAGTCCTTCTCGGCGATAGCCTGTAAGCGGTCCTCAATCTCATCCGCAGTAAGCATGCGGAATTCAGGATCCGGGCCCTCCTTGCCATCAGCACGGGGGCCACCGACAATGCCAATTTCAATCTCGCCCTTCTTGAAATCCATGCTCAGCACCGTGCCCAAAGTCGTAATGGCCAGCTCGACAACCTCCTCCCAGTTGCCCTCGGCGCACTCCTTGTTGCGTAGCTTCTTCTCGAGGTGGTTCAGGGCTTCCTGCTGCTTAGGGCCGGCGGCGGTTCCCTTGTACCCAATATAATATCCCGCGGGGTCGCACTTGAACAGCTGAGGGCCGTACTCGGAGTCGAGGGAGATGATCGTCGTGGCGACACCGTAGGGTCTCATATAAGCCTAGTTACAATTAGCGTTTTATTCCATCTCCAACACTCCGCAGCAGCACATACTCTTTGCGTATAGACCTGGCTGATGTTGGCGAGACGCTTGGCGAGGGCATCGGCCGGCATCTCGTAGCCGTACTTGTAGCGGAACTCGGCAGCCTCACCCTGCGCTCTTTGCGCAAATGCATTTGCATCAGGCATGGATCCAGTAATGACACAGCCAACACCAGGGGAAATTTTGAAGATGTGGGAGACGGAAGCAGGGTCGATCAGCTTATCCTGCACATATTGTCAGTTTCGGTAAGCTTGTGGAGCTCGTCAATACATACGGGAACCTTCTTTTGCGAAAGAACAACAGCGCAGTCCTTTCCGCGAATGCCTACAGACATGATGTTTGCAGCTGTGATGGCCTTGAAGGCGTACTCTATCGTCCGGGTTAGCTTGAAGCATCGTCGGGGTAGCTGGCTCGGAATTGCAGCGCATCGCATCGCGCGAGTCGTTTAAACGTACCGACTTGGTAGAGGCGACCATTGTCGGCGAAAATGGTAATGTGTCTGTCGTATGCGCTGGCTACAGTGCAAAGGTCAGAATCTCAACATGGCAGCAGCTCTTGTGAGCTCTGTTTGCTGGCGACATACCAGACATTGTGACGGATGGCAGGCCCTAACCTGGGCAATGTCGACTATATGTGGTTATTGATAGTAGTGCAATGTGTTGACCAGCGACGATGATCAGATGGAGGTTGGTGGTGCAGTGTTGCGGTGGCCGATCGCAAGTTGAAGCTCAATGGACGCGTTAGCACAAGCTTGCCTAGAATCCAACGTAATGATGGAGCTCAGCTGGCGCTGGCGAGTTGGTGCCTGAGAGCTGTGTAGTTGGGTCCTGAGGCAGAAAGGTCAATTGGCTGGGTGCCTGCCCACTGAGCAAGTCCCTGAACGCGGTGCCTAGCCGGCGATTTCCGTGACAGCCACCACAAGCCTACCATCGTCAAATATTTTCCGGTGTTTTTCTGATCATCGGCAAATACCATACAATCGAGCATCTCTACTCTGAACTTGCAATTTCGTCTACGAGAGTGTTGACTCTGCCGCCAATTGTACACCGTCATTAGTGCCACACGCGCTCCAGAAAAAAATACCATTGCGACCCAAACCGCGAAGTTGAACCCTTCACACGACAACGAAAACCATCGAAAACAAGAAAAAAGGCTCGAAAAACAACGCAAAATGAGCGGCTCACGAGACGCCACTGCTGTCACACCAGCCTGGAAGAAGTTGGGCCTCAAGCTCAAGCACTCGAGTGCGGACGAGCCCGCAAACGGGACCCCAGCCGTTGGGCAGCCAGACCGTGCCCAGCAGCAGGGCAGCATGCAGGGCAAGAGAAAGCAGCTGCACACGGCCGGCGCCGCGTCAGAATATTCCTCTCCTCTCTCTGTCAAAAAGCCTCGCAGAGACTTTTCCCGACCATCAACAGGAGATGCCACGCCTCAGCTCACACGAAAGAAGTCCGTCGCCTTCGCCGACACGCCCACCAACAAGACTGCCGCCCCAGGCTCGACCACGGCGCGAAAGACGCCCGCAAAACCGCACCCCAAGGCAGCAGCAGCAGCCGCCGGCAAGAGCGGCGGCACCAAGGGCCTGACACCCAAGAAGCAAAAGCAGAAGCCGCAGACGACGGCCGACACCAAGCCCGCGATCGAGTACCTGCGGCACTGGGTGTCGTCGCGTGACAGCTGGAAGTTCAACAAGAACCATCAGTCGACGCTGATACGGGCCGTCTTTGACAGTGGCCTCCCGCCTGCCGACGTGGGCTCCTTCTACGACTACATAGATGACATCAAGGGCGGCGTCAGGATGAGACTGCGAGAGACGGCGCTGGCGATTCGCCTCAAGGACAATACGGATCGCGGCGCGGCCGCCTTCCCCAGTGGCACCGTCGACCCCGACGGCAAGCAGGATATCTACGAGGCGGCCCTCGCCGGCTTCCTCGAGGCGCAGCAAAAGGCGGTCGGCAAGAAGCGGACTTTTGCCGAGATGGAATACGTAACGACGGCGCAGGACGCCGACGTCATCATCCGGCGGCTCGTCAAGCGCATGCGTGCAGAAATGGTCATTGCGACGTTGTCGGACGGCGACGAGAGCGACGTCAGCACGGCCACCGTGCGCGCGCCTGTCAAGTCGGCTAGGCTGCTGGTCGCCGACAACAGGACAAATGGTGTCGCGGCCAAGCGCCGCCGCAAGCTGCGCACCAACGTTGATGACAGCGACAGCAGCAGCAGTGACAGTAGCGACGACAGCGACTCGGACAACGACGACGCCTCAGACACGGGCAGCGGCTCCGATACTAGCAGCAGCGATAGCGACGACAGCAGCTCCGAGGATGAGGCGGACGCGGACGAGGCCATGGATGATGACTCGTCCAGCAGCTCGTCTTCGTCCGATGATGACTCGGACGATGAGGACTCGGATGACGAGGCAGAGGTTACTTCTACCAAGGGAGAAAATACATCCAAGTAGATTTTCTTTTCGTGAGATAGACAAAAGTTTTGTTTTCTGTTTTCTGTTTTCTGTTTCTGCATCAAGGCATTATTCATGGATAAGAAAGAGTTGTTTTGTGTTAACATTTTGTTTTGAGCTATTTTGTTTGCATTTGTGTATGGTGTGACTTTTTAGCGATGGTTAGACTTGGCATATAGACGGAACAAGATAGATGTGGTTCACTCCATGCTTGATACCGATAGAACTCCATATACCCTCAAATTCTCAACATTTTACATCTTTTTTACTCATTTACTGTCACGGTACTATGCGGGAATAACAGTATACTCACACGTACAGCTTCGTGAAGCCCTCTTTGGGCGGCTGCAGCCAGTTCCTCTCGTCATACTCCCTGTCCTGGCCCTCAATCACATGAAACGTGTAAATGATTCTGCCCTTTTGGCTCGTGTTCCTCTCGCTCTTGTGCAGCAGATTTCCATGGATGAGCACCAGGTCGCCGGCGCGGACCTCGCCCGGCACGTACAGGTCATTCCGGGCGCCGCCCGCCGGCGCGCCGGCCTCGCCATACCCGTCGCCCTCTGGGAAGCGCGGCCCGTCATTATCCACCATCTCGGTGCCGGCGCCCGCCGCTGTCCGCACGAGGCGCCGCGCCACCGGCGCCCACCGGTGCGACCCCGGCAGGAAGCTCAGGCAGCCATTCTCGAGCGTGGCGTCCTCGAGCGCGTACCAGAAGCCGACGGCCGACGGCCGGCTCGTGTACAGAAACGTCGAGTCCTGGTGCGGCGGCACCGCGCCGCCAATCTCGGGCTGCTTGCAGATGACCATGCTCTGCAGGCAGCGCGGGTCGCGGAACCC